AAAGACATATTCATGGGTAAAAGAAAACTGTTGAATAACACAAACATTTATCCGAACACAAATCAAAATGAATCATTAGACCACGACATTATTGTCGCGCGATCAGGAAGAATTTCGAGGAAGCCAAAACATTACATTGATTACGAAATGCATTTTTAAAAGAAGGAAGGTGTAACGATTATTACGCAAAACAATTCAGAATAGTAATTAGCGATTGCAAACCAAGCTATTCCCTTTTGCGAATTGCACAAAAATTGATAACGAAAGTATTTCCTTGAGAGAATTCCGAACGAGGAATTCTCGCTTTAAAGCCAGTGCGCTGAATTTATTTACAGTTGAAGTTTCGACGCGAAACTTTACAGAGTTTTATATTTAAACTAGTTGTGATAATTTAATCTGAAAAATATTGAAGTAAATGTTAAATAAAAACCATAGTCAAATTCTCTTCATAATAAATATAAAGTCAAACATTACACTAATAGAGCTGCTAAAGTTTGTAAATAAAACTTCAAAAGAACATTACTCAAAAACAAGAGCAATTCAAAGAATTACGAGGACATATTATCCTCAAGCTAATGGATTAGTAGAGCGACATAATCAAACAATTAAGCGTACATTTGTTAAGAAGCTGAATGAGGCTCTGAAATGGTCATAAATATTGATAGTGTTTTGCTTTCATTAAGAGTTAAAAACACAAGTCACTGGTTTTTATCGTTTTTATTGCTTTATCAAAAGAAAGCTGCTGTTTTATATAGTAGTTTAATTGATTTTAATGATAATGTTGCTATTAGCAATGATGATTCTTACAAAAACGTTGTAAACGTTTCAGAAACGTTTCATGCAATGAATAAAATGAAGAATGAACTTTTTAATGGAGCTTATTGAAACATAGTAAAATCTTGAAATAACGCAAATTTGTGATTATGAGAGAAGAATCGTTTCAAATTATAAATTTAGTATAAATTAAAATGTATTGACTGGACCATAAATTGTAACTTCCATTTTAAGTACAAATAGAATAATTAGTTATGAATAAGAAATTAAATTTGATGAAGTGAACATGGAAGTTATTAATGGTAAAAATGGAAGATATGCAACTATTAACATGAGAAATTCTATTTCTAAAAAATTTAATGTTAACATACATCAAATTTATTACTTAAATTTTTAGGATTAAATAAGTTATAACAATACAAAGTAATTAATGGCTTTAGCCAGAATTATATAAATTAATTGAAAATAAAATAAAGTATTACGTTGTTTACGATAAAAAGCTATAACTTTTAGATACAGCACAGCTTTTAGTTTAAGCACAGCTACTACCCAGTGGGCACCGGACCTAAAAAAGACGTCTTTTGAACGTTCGAAAGACGTCCAAAACGTGTATAAGACGTTTAAAAGACGTCTTTTTTACGTCCGTGCCAACTGGGTAACTCAAAGTAACATAAAAACATTACTAAAAGTAGTATAAAAACCTTATAGTAAACGAAAACATTTTTATATTGCTTGCCTTATAAATTTTAGCATCAAAAAATCCTTTTCAAAATAATGTCACTGAATATAGATATAGATTTTATATATAAAAAAAAATCTATATCTTTTTATAAAAAATTAGTACAAAGATAGGTTCTGTGAAATTATTTTGAAAAGGGCTTTTTGATTCTAAAAATTATAAGGCAAGCAATTAAAGATAAGTAAAAATAACAGTTGTGCTGTTTAAACAAGTGTTTACAATACATATTTGTTTTTTACTGGGGAGTAAAAAGCAGGAATAAAAATCTCTCACTAAACTTACGATTGCCAGATATACGGTTGTCTAAAGGAAGACATAGAAAAGCCAAATGAAGGACAAAGGAGGATTTAATTTTAGTAATACTTAATAACGGAAGGTTTTTAAAACTTTTGGTTGCTAATGGTCTTTTTTATGGTGGGGGGCGATACTCCGACCCTCTAGCTCCGACTCACGGTACTGAAACCGGATGAAAATAAACGACAAAGTATAATATCTTACAATGCTATATAAAAAAAATGTTATATGAAATGCCAAAGTTGCTGGTTTTCTGCAATATCTTCGAGTTTTAGATTGAGGACGTCATTTTAATCGATGACGCTGACATTTTGAATGGGTTTTTATGTTTCTTATTGTTAATATGGCGGTTTAAGTCAATAGCTACTTTGTTAGCGACAGACAAATAATATCACATATCGCACACTTTGCCTCATTCTCGTAGCACCCTTAAGCAAAGCATGAATACTTATTTTTCATAGTGCTTGATATTTGCATTTTTTCTTTGTTAATATTTTTATGTACTTTTTATAAAAAAAAGTTGCAATTCAATTTAAGTTAAAAATTCAATAGCAACTCCATGTAAGCGAAAACTGACTAACATAAAATGTGCTGAGTAAAAACGTTTTAATTAAAAAAGAATATATCTATACATTTTTAAGTTTTTTAATTCTTTTGCCGTTCTATAAAACTGCAAAAGAACGAGCAATATATTCAGTTTTGAGAACAGTTATTTTTAAATATTATTAAACTATGTTCTAACTTTTATTCTATCGATTTTTGTTTGTCAAACTGTTGGACAAATGAATGAAGTAAGACAAAATAAACATTGCAATGCAATCAGAAAAATAAAATGCGTAGAGTTATTAGTAGGGGAAAATGACCTAAAACCGGACTCCTTTTCAAAAAATGATAGAATCAGCTAGCCATAACCAACCGAAAATTATTAAAAAAAAAATTTTTCTGGAAATTCAATCAATGCTTTACAATTTAACATAAAAAATTAAAGGTATGGCTAAGCCTTACATTAGAAATAACCGTTGAACAAAGAGATGCTAAGGGCTTATTATACCCTGGATGTAGCCTAAAATGGGCGCCTTATTTAATTTCTGAATAAAACCTGATTATTAAACAAAAAATGATTGTAATTAACTTATTGATGGTACATAATCTTCTGTTCATAGTTCAAAATAAAATTTGACTCAGAGTAAACTCAACTGAGGCAGAATGTACAATGTGCTTAAATTAAAGTGTCAACTCTCGAACTATTCTTGTGCAAATTGAAAAGATATGTTAAATTTTAAAAGATATTAAAAAACGCAACAAATATAAGTGCTTTTTATAATCACAATAGTCATAAATACAATGTTTAGCTCAACAAAATTTAAAACAGGTCTTTTCAAGTATATTTGCAAAATATGAAACCTCAGTTTTTTTTATTACTTATAGCGGAAAGATTAGTTATCTTTATTGTTCAATGCTTCAGCACATCTATAATTAAGTTTATACAATCTATAATTAATCTATATAGAATATATAATTAAGTAAGATTTGTATATTTTTACAAAAATGATGTAAATAAATGACACGAATAAAAGATTTTAAAGTTTTTTAAAAATAAAAATACATAGCTGTTGCTTTAAGTTACAATAAAAATAGCAAAGGAAGTCGTTGCAAATACCTTTTCCGAAAAAAGCCTTGACTACTTTAATAATATTGCCAGAAACCTTTTTTAACTGACACTAAGCTGAACTATTTTGCCGTAAAATCTTGCTAATTGCACCAGTGCACAGTGGGACAGAGTATACCAAAATACCAAAAAATCAATGTCAGCATTGCACTGCTCCACCATTATAACATGAAAACTTGTTATAATGGCGAAGCAGTGGCGTTGCGTGAGAAAATTCCAGGGGGGGGGGGGAGAAACCTCAATTTTCCCAACTGCTTAACATAGATTTTCCATAAAGGGGGGTAATATGTCTGTTTTTTGCCGACTAAAGCCAAAAAACTTTTTTGAACGCTAACTTATCTAAAAAAAAAAAAAAAAAAGGTCCTCGTTTTCCGATATTTGCCAACTGGCAACAATAGATCCAATTTTGCCGACTCCAGTTCCCATTTGCCGACCGTAGGGGGGCTAGACATCCCCCTCGGGACGGCCCTGTTTGCATATGAACCTTTTTACCCCCATGAACGGATCTTTCATGACTGGTTTTATAGTCGTTGTTAAAAACTGCTTTGCATACGCTACATTGTATTTTATATCTTCTTGCTTTTTATAATTATTGCTCTGGAAAACGAACGCTAATACTATAATTTACCGCAATTTTTAAATGAGTTAATGTTTATAAAATTTATCACTCATAATAATAGAATAAGACATATTATATATTCTTATTCATATTTGACTTTATCCTTTAAATCTAGTTCCGATCCTACTTTAGTATACTGATAATTGGAAGTAACAACAGGTGCAAAGGTGAACGCTTTGCGCCTGTTATCAGAGTTTACTATTTATTTTCTTATACTTATAAAAAGCTTTATATTAAACTATTATATTAAAAAATGAATCATATCATTTTAAATGATATCATACCTTACAAAGACAGAGATGTTAAAATTAATGCATAAAAATAAATTTTCACATGTTTCAAAGTAGAAAGTATGCGAAACGACGCCCCTGTGGTGAAGACATATTCAATAGAGGAAATATCTAGTTAAAAAAACATTAAATATTAATTCAAGCGTTATTTTATGCGGTTGAATTTGACACGTGTTCCAAAACGGTATTTTGCATTTTTTATACATCAACTTTCTTACGCTGCTATTGTTTTAAATTAACTTTTTTGACTTTCATTTTAAAATATATGATTTTAATTAAAAATGTTTTTTTCGCTCAGACTTTTAAAAACAACTTTACGTAATCATTAGTTTTTATGCATTAAAAACAGACAGTTTTCGATATTTTTTTTGCTACTAACTTGACTATTAGGTATCAGGTAAACCATCCTCCAATATTATCCAAACATTTGATTATGTAAATCTCATGCTAAATGTATGTAAATAGCTATGCATCATAAATATTTTGCAACATTTTGCAATAAAAAAAGTTATAACAAAACATTGGTCTTCGGTTAATGGTCAGTTGATGAGAAATATTAAACTATAAAAAAAAATTGTATAAAAGATGTTTTTTACACAAAGAATACTAATATGGCAAATGAATACTAATATGGCAAAGAATACTAATATGGCATGCATTAAAAAGTAACACCTTTGATGTTTACACTGATAAAAGTTGTCTTCTCCATTAAAAATATTTCGTATTTTTCACCAAAATTTTATTTTTTTTATAATATTTTTTTATATTATATAATTACATGTTTAATACTTTATTTGTGCATATTATATATAAATATAGCTATTTTAATAATAAAAAAACTAAATAATAAAATCCTGACTACACCGGCCTTTATAGAAAATATGTAACAAAAAAAAAAATAATAATAATAAAAATTTCGAAATGTAGAGGTTCCAAAGTTATAAACACTTCAAGTGTTTACTATTTCATTAAAATTAATGAACCCAAAATAATTTTATTGGATATTTAATAAAGTTTTTTCATTATTTTTACACTGCTGTGTTATAAAGATTATTTATTAAGTTATCATCAAAAGTTAGCAAAAAAAATAAGAACTCAATTTTTTCTATTTTAAGCCGGTTTTTCCTTTCTTAGTTATGCGTTGTGCGCCCAAAAATTTTGCCCGATGTAAAAAATCTTCGAAAATCTAATTTCTTAATCATTTGCTTTTAAACATTCTAATTATTGACAATTTTTGATTAACTATCTTTTTTGTCAAACAGATAGTTAATTAACAAATATCTATACACTAAAATATTGTAACCTAATTTCCTTTTGTTTTTTTGTTTTTAATTTGTTTTTAAAAATCTTTTTTAGTGTTTGTCAGGTTTAATCAGCAGTTTATCTGGTAACTAACATTTTATAAATTTCTTAGAAAAGTTTTAAATTCAATTTTTTTTATTGTCCTTTTTTTGTAAATATCTTAATTTGGTAATAGAATTTTGTAAAGTTATAGTTATTTATTTTTTTTAATTATATATAAATTTATATGTATATATATATATATATATATATATATATATATATATATATATATATATATATATATATATATATATATATATATATATATATATATATACATACATACATACATACATACATACATACATATATATATAATATATATAGATATAGTATATATATATATATATATATATATATATATATATATATATATATATATATATATATATATATATATATATATATACTATTATGTAGAATACATTTAAAATTATATATATATATATATATATATGTGTGTGTGTGTGTGTGTGTGTGTGTGTGTGTGTGTGTGTCTGTGTGTGTGTGTGTGTGTGTGTGTGTGTGTGTCTGTGTGTGTGTGTGTGTGTGTGTAAATTTTTTATATCTATATAAATTATTTTTTAATATTAAAAAATTAATATTATTTTACAAATAGAGTTAAAGCTTTTTCTTTTAAGAACATTAGGCATACTATTATGTAGAATACATTTAAAATTATATATATATATATATATATATATATATATATATATATATATATATATATATATATATATATATATATATATATATATATATATATAGTATTATTATTATTATTAGTTTATGCTGTGACTGGTATTGCGGAGGTATTAGTATTAGTGAGTGTGGTTTTAAAGTACACTATAACAGCTGAGTCTTGTGATGGTTTGACTCTCATTGATCAAGTCTTGCATTAAATGAGTTGGCTGAATTAGCTTTAACAACACTTTCTGGCAGTGCATTCCACAAATTTGCAGCTCGATTTAGTAAAATATTTTCTCTATAATTATGTACAGAAAGTTCTTTAGAATACTTTAGGTTATGGCCACAAGCACAATTAGATTTGAAGGACTTATTTTCTTTAAATTCAACTTTATCGTAACCTTTAAAAGTTTTAAACAATTGAATTATGTCACCACGTTGTCTTCTTCTAACTAGTCAGGGCATTCTAAGACAAGCTAGTCAATCCTCATAGCATAGTTTATTGATTGAAGGTACTAATTTAGTGGCACAACGCTGTATTCTTTCCAAAATTGCAATATCTCATTTTTGATAAGGAGCCCAAACTGTTACAGCAAGTATATATATATATATATATATATATATATATATATATATATATATATATATATATATATATATATATATATATATATATATATATATATATAACTTTTATATATATATATATATATATAACTTTTATATATATATATATATATATAACTTTTATATATATATATATATATATATATATATATATATATATATATATATAATTTTTAATGTATTTAAAATTATATATGTAAAGTCAAGCGATCAACTTATAATAGCAAATTCTACTATAAATGAGTTAAATGAACGTAAAAAGAAGCTAGAAAGAGAGCTAATAATATCATTTTTTATGGAAAATCAGAATCCAATAAAGTTTCTTTAGATAATAAAGTAGCTGAAAATAAAGCAAAAGTCTTAGATTGCTTCCAATTTTTAAAAATATCTATATATCTCCAGATTAAACAGAGGCTGAACAGCAATAGGATTTTATACTCAGAACAGAGCGAAATAAACTGAATAATGACCTTAAGGAGATGGATCTCTTTTAGTATGGTATCCGGAAAAATTACAAAAGTTTAAAAAGAAACCAAAGGAAAAGCTAATTGTCTGCTACTTATGAGTAGTATTGAAAAATTGAGTTGCATGTGCCTTAATGCCACATCTCTTGACAACAAATTTGACGAATTTAAACTAGTAGTTGCAACTTACAATCCTGAAATAATTACCATTACTGAAACATGGTTTAAACCTATTTTTCGCTGAAAATTGGATGGTTATTGTTTATATAAAAAAGATAGATGTTGATGGTTGTCGAGGTGAAGGTGTATGTATTTATACTGACAGCAAAATTAGTTCATATGAATTTAATGATAACAGATTTACATTGAGTCAAATTGAGCATGTCTGGGCTGTTATCCAGTTCAGCAATGATAAATATCTTATTGGATGTATTTATAGACTTCACAGATATGATTGATATAAAAATGTATTTGAAAATTGCTAAAGAATATGTTAACCGAAAAGGTTATAAAGATCTAATCATAGTTGGTGATTTTAATTTTCCTAGGATAATTTGGTCCCATGATTCAATAAATTCAATTCAAGAATCGTCCGAAATTGAGCTTTTTTTATATAAAATAATAAATGATAATTACTTATATCAGCATGTTAACATACAAACATTTCAAACAATTGCAAAAATCTGCTGAAATATTTTAGGTTTAATATTCATTACTCAGTCAGCAAGTATAAGTACCAGTGATAATAAATTTGTTTTAGGTAACATATCCAGGGGTCATTTGATATTGTGTTTTGATTTTATTCTTAAAAATTATATTCTTTAAGATACAGAAATTGTTCTAGTAAATGGAAAAACTCAAATCTTTGTAACCAATATAAATAATTATCAAAAAAGAGTTTTCAAGACAAAAATACGAATCAATGATAGCAGAAAAAGTTAAAAAGAACCCAAAAGTATTATATGCTATATAATACTTTTAGGTTAAAACTATATTCTATTAAAACTATATGCTGATAATATTTATATTATATGATTATATGCAAAAAATATTTGATTATATGCAAAAAATATTTCAAAACTATATGCTGATTACACAAAAATCATGTCAATTATTAATTATGCGGTAGTGGTGTAGTGGTAGAGCGCTCGCTTCATAAACGAGTGGTTCCGAGTTCGATCCCCACCACGTCCCTGGTAGTACCGCGCTCAACTCGTTTCTCCGCGCAGCGGCCTTGTTCGTCAAGGTTCGTGTTTCGGAGTTATAGAGTTGAGAGAGGGTTATAGCCACAAAACAAGTAGCCTCCTTGTCTGTAGTGGCCTTCTCGGCCTTGAGGAGGTGAAGTAGAATAAAAAAAAAAAAAAAAAAAAAATTAGTTCTTTTGATGAGTTATAAATAAACTATATAAGTAAACTATAATGCAATTTGAACTCTGTCTATGCTTAGACACAAGATTGGTTGCTTAACTTTAATATTGACAAATGTTTAGGTATGAACTATGGCTATAAAAATAAGAGATGGTGTGTGTGTATTATTTATATTAGGGTGTTAGCCAGGTATATTTTTTTACAGCATTTTTGCGATATTGGGAAAATTTATTATTATAGTCCTGTAAGACTATAACAATAAATTTGATTTATAGGTGCTATTGGGCTGGCTAACATAGTATATATATATATATATATATATATATATATATATATATATATATATATATATATATATATATATATATATATATAATATATATATATATATATATATATATATATATATATATATATATATATATATATATATAAACACACACATTCTTTTAACAATACAACTATATTTTAATCTTTTCCATTAGAAAACCAATGAAAATGATATCTGCTGAGGAACTAGAAGAAGAGAGTTTAAAAAAAATTCCAAATATGGACTTAGCACAGTCTTTGTTTTTATTGCAATGTAAATTTTCTTCTCTAATAGAAAAAAAAGATGCACAGGAATTTCTTGAAAAAGAAATCATGGAGAAAAGTAAGATTTTAATTCAATTATATAATTTATTTTTATATAAGATTTTATCTCAATTTAATAAGTTTTTAACAAAATTATTTTTAAAATGAGTAAGATAAAATAAATTAAGCCTTTCTTTCCTCATTTATGTAGTTAAAAAAAAAAAAATTCAATGACATTCAATATTAAAAAAAAAACAATTGTGAATCAGTTGCCATCTAGTAGGAAGTTGCAAAACTTATGCATTAATTCAAATTTTAGAAAAAGATAAAACAGGATTTGATTTTTGAATTATAAGTTTGTTTTGCCAAATAGTAACATTGGGAAAGAAAGGGTTTCTTTCCCAATGTTGCTATTTGGCAATGTAGCTATGATCGTTTCTTTATGCTTATAAATTTTTTCTTCAACAAGTCATGAAAAAAAAAAAAATTCCTATGATTGATCTTTACAAATATCTTGAAATACCTTTTTTAAAATAATGTTTGTGGATGAAACTGTCAATTTTATTTTTAAATATTGTGATAATTTATTAAAAAGAAATTATATTAAATTTTAATTTCTGTATTTTAGTATTTTGATATTAAGGCTTCAATAATTAACCAGAAATAACTGAAAGTATAGTTTTTTAAAGCATTGAAAACAATTCATAAATTTTTGTAGGTTCAACTGTTCTTTAAATCAGCAAAGATATATTCTAAATATAATCTAATAAATATCTTAATGCATTTTTCTCTTTAAATTTAAATAAAAATTTAAACAGCATCTTATATACAACATACTTTATATACACAACATATACTGCAGCGTACATAGCCTCATGCACACAGCACATGACATTGTCTTTCAAATAAATAAATTTCCTAATACCACATTTACCTTTAAAAATTTAAATTACTGCTTGTATATGTCATTGTACCATTATTAACATAGAGTGCTATTTCAAAGATTGATCTTAACAAAACTTAGATTTCAAAGCTTGATCTAAACAAATTTTTTAATAATAGAAAACAGCATTTCAATAAAATATTGTAAATTTAACAAAATAAAAAAAAATCAAATTTAATTTTTAACCTGATGTAAAAAGGAGTTTGGATTCTTGTTCATAAATGTTTAACATTTTTTTTAAAACTAAAACGCATTTTTTTTTAAACTAGTTTATAGCTGATAAAATAGCATTAGGGTTTTAGGACTAAACAGTCATATTTTTTTTTAGCTCTCTTTTTTTTCATTTTTTTAAATTTTTATCTTTAATTTTATCTTTTTAATTCTTAACTTTTTAGTTAAAACTTTGTTTTAACTTAACTATTTATTTGTTATTATATCAAACTTTTTATTGAAAAATTCAATTGATGTAAAAGTGATAAAAAATATTTTTATGAAAATTATGCCATAGTATGTAATAATTATATATAAAAAAAAAATTCAAGTTCACATAAAAATATATTTAAAAATGAAGGAAAATGTTAGAAAAAAAATGTTTAATGTATTTACTAAATAACGCTATTATAAATTGTAATATTTTTCTCACTGATTTGTTATTATATTACAAAAGAAAACATTTTTTTACTTTTTAAATTAATTTTATTAATTAACTAATTTAAATAAGTTAAAGCATGATATACTTGATATCTTTAGAGTATATTTTTGTGGTTATGTATACAGGGCTTGAAATAGCTGCTAAACATTAGACATTTTCTGCTAAAAAATATATACTATATGTATACAATAACAGTTTGACCTCTAACAGTTTGAGGTAACTCTAACAGAGTCGAGGTTGAGCAATAAATTGCTGACCTTATTTTTCCTCATTCAAAGGGTTATGTATATATGTATGCATTCATTTTTTAATAATTTTAGATGTTTAAAAATTATTAGTAAATTCAGTAAAATAAACTTCATTTTTTATCAGTTTTATCATTTGTATTAAAACAACAATTAGTTATTATTAATTTAAATTTTTAACTTTTTGTTCAATGGTTTTTAAATTTTAACAAATACTTTTACTTTTAAACCCCTTTTTTAATTTGTTTTTACAAAAACTTCAAGGTTATTTTAGCATAATTAAAAGTACTTTTTTTTACACTATTTAATTTGAGTTATGCTATGCTATGTACACTAATTATTTGTGTAACTTTAGTTTTCGCCCTAATATTTTTCGGTATTAAAGTTGTTTATAAAATGAATCATAGAAAACATATGAAAAGATTTATCATTAAAAATACCTTTATAAATAAATAAAATTTTGAATAATTCTTTGATAACACTGCCCAACAATAATTTTGTTTTCGAACCAAAATTAATTATTTCTTATGTATTGACCTCCTGCATGAATTAAAAAATGACATATTAGCTTTAGTTTAAGAAATAGAAGCAAAAACTTTCTCTCAGGGGTAAAAATTTTAATTTTTTTGAAAAAAATTTTTTTTTTCTGTTTTTGACTATCCATCATGTTTAAAACTTGTGATATTAGTTATGTGTGCTTGCTTAAGTTTCTGGTCTAATCTATTCTTAATATGAAGATAGGGGACCAGGATAAGTCATAGGTTCCACATATATGCTGTAGTTTGTTCGATTACACTATGAGAATGGTTGAAAAATGAAAAAAAGATCTTTGGCTTTTGCTGTTCCTATGTTATAGAGGTAACTTAAAAACCATACAATACTGCTATTTCTGCTTTATCCCACCCATTAAGGCAGGTTTGTCTATGAAGAAAATAGCAACAGTTAAATATCTTAATCTTCCATCTGCATTCGACCTATTCCACATTCAGATAGTTTAGAAGTTCCTCCACACACAAGTTGTGACTTAGAAGCAGAAAATGAAGGCATAAATGAAGTAGAAATAGTAGAAAAAGAAAAAAACAAGCCACATCAAATGATCCTGATTTTGTGTTAGATGATGTATCACACAGATTGAGTCAAGCAGAATTAAGTGATGTTGTTTAAAATCTGGACTTGCCACAGGAAATAGCAGAACTTCTAGGGTCAAGACTAAAGCAATGGAATCTTCTCCAATTTGATGTCAAGGTTTCACATTACAGAAAACGGCAGCAAAATCTACTTTCTTTTTTTTAGAAGAAAAATAATTTTGTTGTTTGCAATTACATATTAAGTTGTGTTTAATGAAAAAGTTTGTCTAAGGTATGAACATAGAAGGACAGACTTTTAGGTATTTAAGAAACGAATTTCCAAAAATATGCGATGCAAAAGTTAAAGAGGGTATTTTTGTCGGACTTTAAATAGGTCAACTTATGAAGGATTCTGCATTTTAAAAAGTTTTGAAGCGGCAAGTTGTGGAATTGTTAGTGATGAGAAATTGGGAAAGGTTTCACCAAGTTATTTCTGTAATGGAACAAAGATGTCAGGGTCATTGGAATGAGGCAATGCTTGCAGTTTACTATTGGTTTGTATTGGTTAGGGATGCTCTAGAACTAGTCTACAAAAGGAAAGCAAAAAGATCACGACCTTGTGACAATACCTCATAATCATCTGTATACCTATTAGCTTGATGATCATGATTTCTTTTTTTAAAACTGTTAGAATATATCTGTAATAAAAAAAATTCAAATGTAGTTTAAATATTATTAGAATATGTAAATTATTTGTCATATTTCTCTGTTGCAAATTAACTGAAATAAAAATTTATTACTATTATATATCTCAGAAACTAGAGCTAATGAAAATTTTTCGTTGTTATTTTTCTGTTTTCTTAGCCCAAAATTAGTATAATTTGATTAAAATTGCTTAAGATACAATAAAATATATTTTATTGCCCAGTGTAAGAATAACTTTACTACTGCAGTTAGAAAAAAATAATTTAATAACCTCAAAACCTTTATATAAAGAAACTAATAACAGAGTAAAAGCTAATAGTAGAATAGTTGGAGAGGTCAAAGTGTTTCCTAGAGCTTTGAAAAATTGGAACCACTTATTTAGCACTTTATAAAAGTTTAAAAACAATTGAAGAGAGTTCCAAAAAGCATTTTTTTAAGACTATGATGGAAATCTATTTTGAAGCACAAACTGTAGAAGTGTTTAATTGAAAATAAACTTTAGCATTAGAAGAATGAGTGATTTGGATAATGATGGGTTAATCTGTTTAACTGTCAGGAAGAGTATGGCCATTATATTCATGAGTCAAATTAGAGTAAGATTTCTTTTCAAATAACTCTGCTTTATTCTGGGGAGAAGTGAAAAGATCAGACCCATTAATTAGAGATTAAATGTTAGACTTACTTTAGTTAATGACACTGTTGAAGACTAACCAAAAGTCTCTAGAACCTAATATCTGAGATAAGATTCAAGATTTAGAGAATAACAGAGCTTAACATCAGACAAGACCTTTTTACATTAGCTTTTTGTGATAATAAAAGGACATTTGTTGTTAAGAGAGATGCTCTTGTAAAAAAGATGAAAAAATTGAATGTTTAATGTTTAAAAATTGAAACTTGTTAAGATTGTGAAAAATGTGGAGTAGAATGATGCTTGACTTATAGTTGTAGAGAAGTAAATAAAGCTTCCAAACTTTTATTCCAGAAGGTAGATATAGCATGTAGACAATTAGCAGCTTTAGTAGAAAATGGTAGTGGTAGTAAGAAAACTTGAAGAGAGTGCCTTACATATTGTATGAATGCGCTTTAGTAGAGAAAAAAAATGCTCTAGATTGTTTATATTAGAGAAACAGCATAAAAGAGAAAAGCTAAAGCCTGATGATGATGATGATGATGATGATGATGATGATGATGATGATGATGATAATGATTATCATAATCATGATGATGATTATGATCATCAATTTCTATTTTATGCTTTTGATGATGATCATGATGATTTGATCATATTTGTGATCATGATTATTGTGGTTACCTATTTTATGCTTTTGATGATGATCATGATGATTGTGATCATATTTGTGATCATGATGATTGTGATCACCTATTTTATCCTTTTGATGATTATAATGATTGTGATCATGGTAATGATGATGATGGTGGTGATGATAGTTATCATCATGATAATAATAATGATTATGATTATTATGTTGATCATAATGATGTTTATATATGCATATATTTACAAAATATAACATGACTTTGGAATAAAAACTTTAGGATGTATAAATGTTTTTGCAACCCTGGTCACAAACGCGGCCTCTGCCCCAGCTATATTTTATCAAACCCGGCCCCGTCAAATATCAACCCTGGTCGTTTACTAGTAATAAGTAAAAAAGAAAAACATTTTGCATAATATAAAAACATTTTTTTTTTATTGTTAATTCTTAAAATGGCTTTAAAATGAGTGAAAAATTAAACTGAACAAGTAGACCATATTTTAAAGAATATTTGAATTTTAAAATGTAATAAGCTGCTTGTATTTTGCCCATTTATTCCAGACAATTCTAGTTGATCAGACAACTGGTCTGTAAAGACTTGTTAGTGAGTAAAAAAGTACTAGTTGCCTTCATTTTCCCATTATTGAGTCCTTTTTCTAAAAAAATTTTTAAAATGAAGTTTTTTCAAATTTAAGGAGGTTACAATTATATTTTAATATGAGGCAAATGTTGAAAGTTAAAAAAAGTAATAAGGTTTTAAAATAGTCTGTTTTTGTCATTCGAGAAATAGAAGGATTTTTCTAATAGTGTTAACAATTTTCATGGCTACAATATTCAAATCTTTGAAAATTGTAACCATGTTTTTTGTTACAATTGTAATGGCTACAATTTTCAAATCTTTGAAAGTCTGAAATTACTTTATTTACATAAAATATATTATATTACATATTATTTTTATAAATATATAGATAATATGTTAAAATCAAAAAAAAAAAAAAAAATTAACATAGCAATGCACTAAGTTTTCCTAAATCGGTTGAAATATAATAAACTTGATATTTTTATGTTTCTGAATATTAATAGATATTCTTGCATATGATATTTCTAATTATTTTCCGATATGTTTCTAGATATTTCTAAATAAGATATTTAGAGATATGAGATTTCTAGATATGATATTTAGAGATCACCAGCCAGTAAACTCCAAAGGATTTCAAGTTGGTACAAGAGTCATATTTTGCTAGGCTGGCAAGATTTTACAATGCTTTTTTCTCAACTTTTTAATCTAACGACAGCTGCTGCTTATGTAAAATTTGTTTGGAAAATTATTATTTTTTATGACTGATGTTCTGAGTATAAACATTTCCATTGTTTATTTAGCACAGTCTTTGTTTTAATACTTACACTTTTTTAAAAGCTCTGTATGTTTTTGTATGTTTTGTGTTTGTATGTGTTACGCTAAATTAAATTAAATCTTCTAAAATTGTTTGCTTTGATGTTTATAGATATGGGCCCTTTTTACAAATATGTTTGCCAGCAACTTCAATGGACAGTTGACAAAGAAAAACTTGAAAAAATGGAAGAGATAAATAAACAAGTTGTTGAACAACTTGATGAAAAGATTAAAGATGCTGAAGACAATCTTGGTGAAACAGAAATCCGAGGAAGTTACTTAAATAAAGCAGAGCATTACATTCTTATTGGAGATAAGGTATTTATTATTAATAATTTATTGGAGATATGGTATTTATTATTAATAACTTATTGGAGATAAGATATTTATGATTATTTACTTAAAAAAAAAAAATTTTTTTCAAAAATACCAAATTATGAACAATTTTTTTTTTTTATGTTAATTATTTTGATACTGCTTTGCATGCATTTCACAGCAGTTAAATCTTTAGTTTTTTAAGTCTGTAAGTTTATTTCCTGTTGATTAATTATAATTTGTAACATATTTTAAAACAGTTGTGAGCATTTAAAAAAAAAAGATTTTAACATGCTTAAAGTTCTGATCCAAAACATATAGACTTAAGGGTCATACTATGTCAAATCAACAGGCATTAATACCCAATTTTTCAGGTTTTGTTATTTAGTTTTATAGAATTTATAAAATTTAAGAAATTCTGAAAAAATGGAACCTCCAACACTGTACGGAGATATTCAGGTTTAATTTTTTTTATATTTATTAACTCTTAACACTTAATAATTTTATAAACTTTGTTAAACATTGTTAACATTTTTTGTAAAGGTCATCAAATTTTTTGCTTTTTGTCATATTCATTAAATAGCAATATTTAATGAATGTTGTATCAACCTAAAAATTATCAATCTTTCGGATGTGCCAAATTTCATATTCACATGTCGGATCTATGTGTAATATTAATTTATTTTTTTTAGAGCTATTTAACTAAACAGAAATTGAAAAATAAAGACTTGATTTGGAGTATTTTAGGTTATTTTGTACCTTAAGAATTTTATTGGGGACCTTTTACAACTTAGAATATAGGCATCAAACATCACTTTTAAAGCCTAATATAATGTTTTTTGTCTTTTTGAAATACAGCCTTTTTTATATAGCTTATTTGAATGGGTTAGCATAAAATATTTTGCTAATTTATGACAAAATTTAAATCGTACTTTTAAGACTTTAAAATATCTTACTTTTAAGTAGTAAAAAGTTAATTTTACTACTTAAAAATAAGATATAGCTTTTTGAGGTCAAAAATAAATATTTTTTTTATTGAAATAAATTTATTTAATTCAATAATTCTTTTTCTACTGATTTGACACAAAATGACTCATATTTACCTCTGATAAAATTTCTAATGAAAAAGTAGCAAGTTTATATATTATTATTTTAATATTTCTAGGAAAATGCCTTATCAGCTCTGCGAAAATCTTATGAAAAGACATCAATGTTAGGTCACAAACTTGACAATGTTTTTCAACAAATTCGAGTTGGTTTTTTTTTCATGGACAATGATGTCATAACAAGAAATTTAGAAAAAGCAACCAGGTGATTTACATTTGCGTTTTTAGTTGTGAAATGTGTTTTAGTTTATATCATGCTTATTGTATTATATATGTTGTATTAAGTGTATTTTAGTTGTATTTAGTGTATTTTAGAAATATTTAGTGTATATATAGAAGAAATTATAAATGTTAATTATTGAAAAATATTAATATAAATTAATATTTTTTAATTATTGACATTCCTCTCATATTTCAAACAGATGAATAAGGATAAACTTAGCAAGCTAAGCCTCACTTTTTTGATGATTTACTTGATTATCTAATTAATAATGATTAAATAATTAAAAATTTAGTAAATAATTAATTATGGATTTGTCAAGTTTTAGCATAAATATTTGGGTGCACAATTTTTTGTTGATATTTGATTGTTAAATGTTTAAAAAATTTTATATTTAATTTTGATGTGTTTTCCATTATATAAGTTTCTCCAAACAAAAAATTTTATTCCATTTTATTTTTAATTTTAGTGAAAAATATTATTTTAATTTTTAGCTTGATAGAAGAAGGAGGTGATTGGGACCGCCGAAATCGTCTAAAAGTGTACAAAGGTTACTACTCACTTACTGTACGAGACTTTAAGACTGCTTCTTTGAATTTCCTTGAAAGTATTTCGACATTTACTTCATACGAGCTTATGAGCTACAAAAAGTTTGTTGAGTATACAGTCCTTCTATCAATTATTTCATTAAAAAGAGCTGAGCTTGGTAAAAAGGTAAGTTTAATGAATATGTATATAAACACTTGAATATGTCACTAATGACATATGAATGTGTCTTTTTACAAATGACACATGAATGTGTCTTGCTATAAATGAAACTTAAATGTGTCTTTTTACAAATGACACACAAATGTGTCTTTCTATAAATGACACATAAATTTGTCTTTGATCCATAATAAAATGACTATATACACGCCAAGTTAAAAAGCGTTATGCCATTTAAATTTTATGTACAAAATGGCAATTTCACCTATTTTTTAAGCCATTTACGTTACACCAAAATTTTTTTCAATTAGATTATTTAATCAGTCTTTGGTTGATTTCTTTTTAGTTTAGAAATTGTTTTTTAGCTAAAGTTTTTCCATTATAATTAATTTTTTAGATTGATCATAGAATCAGCGTAGATTAGAAATGATTAATTAGTTTGTAGTTAATAGCTTTTTTCTTTTTTAATTGTTGAAAGTTTTTATTTTTTGACTGTTTAGAATTCCACCCATAAACAGTTTATAAAAAACTTTCTCATAAACTTTCTTTAAAAAAAAAAACTAGTTTGTGAGAAAGCAAACATAAGGCATTAATGTTGTGTGTTTTATAATAAATCTTTTAAGAAATAAATAGTATAATTTTTTTTACATGAGGAAATTTTTTTTTTTCAAAACAATTTTTATTATTTTTTTGTTATAACAGTATTGTTTAAATTTAAATTTACCATATTAGCATAATTTTAGCAATTTAAATAAATAGTTTAAATTATATTAACTTTTATACTTTTTATACTTCATAAATATAGAGATAAAGATTTTTAAAGTGATTTTTAGTTAAATTTGAATTACAATGCGGTACTTTGAAATACGCAATTGGCGTAATTTCAATTTTATCGATAAATATAATTGAATAAATATATTTAAATATAATTTAAATACCCAACAAAATCTCATAACAAGGCCTGTTTATAAGTCTATTCCACACCAACCTTTTTTTTATAATTTTTCTTTATACATTCATTCATATATATATATATATATATATATATATATATATATATATATATATATATATATATATATATATATATATATATATATATATATCCACACTTATTCCTTTTTCAATATTCTTTAGTAAAATTATTCTCAAAATTGCTTCAAAAGCAGAAAACATTAATGTGCACCTTTTCCGCATAAGCAGAGCTCATAAGAGATTTTATTAAGCAATTTTATTAACAAGCTTTGATGCTCAGTGGTTAAATGTGCTGTCATTAGTGTCGTTTTGCGATGGTTCAAATCTGCCCCTTAACACAATAAATTTTCAATTTTTTCAATCTTGTCGTATATATTTATAGCAAAAAAAAAATAGATTTAGCAAAACTTTTATATAGCAAGACTTTTAATTTTTATAATAAAAGTTTTTGCTAGTTACAAGGAACTTTTTTTTTTTTTGCCTTCACAGCACCTCGTTGTGTAGTAGCAGGACAGACAATTAAATTTATTCTTTATTAAGTTTCAGACCATAATTTTTTCTCAGACCATCTGCAGCTTATAAGAACTAATTACATGAGCACATAAATAACATAAGTATCTATCATGACATATGTGCAACAAATTTCTCTCGGTCTTTTGAGGTTTTTAGAAATTTAAAGCTTTTTTTAAAATACTCTCTTTCGTTTGTTAAAGTATATATTTTTATATGTTATGTATATAATATCTATAGAGCTTTACAATTAATGTATTTTGTATTTTGAAAAATCAAAAAAGTTTTTTAAAAAATTGTATATGGCAATTTAGTTCAAAACTGCTGCAAGCTAAACACTACTTTTACTTATAAGAAAAAGTGCTACGACTCTTTCTTGTCATTAACTCAAGTGTAATGTCTGCCGTTAGTTCCATGGTAAACACACAGGAATGAGTAATGGCAGCATTAAATTCAATAATAATATATTATAGGATGTACAAGAACTTGCATAAAAAATAACCTTATAATTATAGAAAAGGGTTGTAATAGCAATTTTCTCCTATATGCCAATATTGTTGTTTTTATCGACTTAAATTCTCATCAAACTAAATGGCATTGGTTTTTTGTATCTTGTTGCATAAAAACTCAAAACATTTGTTTTTCTCAAACTAATATTCAGATAGTAACTTTATGATGTTTATCAGGCAACCTAGTTTGTTAAATTTTACATTTTGGAGTTATAGAGTTGTGAGGGTAACAGCAAATTTTGTATTTGACAAAACAATGTATTTTGAGGTGTGTTTGTTTGGGAGTATATGTAATTATTTTATAAGATGACATTTAATTTTCATACAATATTTCAAGGGATTATAGCTACCCTCGTTGTCAAGTATATACATATAAGCAGTATATACAAGTATATACATTGGCAGCGAGGGTAGCTATAATCCCTTGAAATATTTTATTAAAATTAGTTTCAAATAAAAAGTTACATCCATAATAGAAGTTTTATTTTAATTATATTTGAAACTCTTTAATAATGTCTTTTAAGATTTACTATTGAACATAATATTTTGATTTTTAAATTAAAAAATTTGTGTTGTAGTGAGTAATTATGCGGTAGTGGTGTAGTGGTAGAGCGCTCGCTTCATAAACGAGTGGTTCTGAGTTCGATTCCCACCACGTCCCTGGTAGTACCGCGCTCAACTCGTTTCTCCATGCAGCGGCCTTGCTTGTCAAGGTTCGTGTTTCGGAGTTATAGAGTTGAGAGAGGGTTATAACCACAAATAAGTAGCCTCCTCGTCTGTAGTGGCCTTCTCGGCCTTGAGGAGGTGAATTTAAAAAAAAAAAAAAAAAAAAAAAAATTGGTTTTGATCTTATTTTTTAGATTAGAAGCAATATATATGTATTTATGGTTATGGTTCTAGTAATAACTCTTTTGTGAGTGGTGTTCTTTAAGTTTCTGTACTTTTTTATTAAGTATATGCTGTTGCATATATTTTGGGGCAGGTGAAGCTTTTAAATCATTTAACCATTTTTAACCAATTTCCTAGATAAAGGAAAACTCTGATATCCTTAAATTAATTGCTTTAATTGCTGTTAAGTTAGGTGCTTAATTAGCACATGTATACTATAACAATAAGAAAAGTCATTTTAAACTATTTTTGAAATTTTAATTGGGGTTTTTACCAGTAATGATATTTGATTTAATAACGCTAATTATCAAAAATTTTGATTTTAAGACGATTTATTGATCCTCTACAAAAGATTGGTTAGAAATTAGAATGACGGATTGTACAAATGTTGTGCAATATTTTTATCCACTAATTTTTATTATTTCTTATTCACATAATTTAATTATTAATCTTTAAGTAATAATTACACATAATCTGATTAATTTACAACTAAATGTGCGTACCTCAGATATATTAAAATATTAATAAATATACATTTAATTACATTATAAAAATATATATATATATGTTTTTGTTTGCTGAAAATTTATTTTAATTGATTTCTTTGACTAATAGGCTTCTTTAACTGTTTTTCAATGCTTTTCCACAATATGCGCAAGTTGTTCTCTCTCTCTCTACTCGATCAAAATATTTGTCTTTGATTTCTCCTGTAAGCTTGATACCTTGCTCTGCAACATTATTAACACAAGAAAGTTTCAAACTTTTTTGCAACGTTAAAGTCCTCAAATTTGTTCCAATGCTCTGATGGAATGTTTAGCCATTCTTGGGATCTGTTTAATTTTAACAGATAAAAATTTTTTATCTGTTAAAATTAAATAGATCTTTTTGCCAATGAAAATCAATAAAAATGTTTTTCTTTGTCACGCCATTTAATAACTGAAAGCTTTGGTTTGTACTAAGTGAATACTTAAGAAATAAGTAAGTTTATAAGTTTTGAAAAACAATATATGACTAATAGCAAAAAAAAATTTTGATTTTTTCCATAAAGCCAAAGTCACTGCAATCAAAGAGGCTACTTTTTTTTTTTAATTGTTGTTTATTTTCAAGTGTTGAACTTGAAGCGCTCTACCACTGCATAACTACCACAAAAATAAACCCACTAATTCATTAAATCATATTAATTAAGCCACTTACATATTTAAACCACTAAGTCATTAAATTTTTTCTTAAATACTTTGAATCAGGCAGTTTATTAGGATGTATCAACAGTGGAAAAGTACTTATTAATTTTCTTTTAACAATTTATGATGAAACTTATTAAGATATTCTACTTCAAAAAAATTTTTTGAATTGTGTCACATTGGCTCGATAAAGTCATTAATAAATCAGTATTTAATTAATATATAATCAGGCTTTAGATCATATATAATCAGTATATATTAAATTATATATATATATATAAATATATATATATATATAATATATATATATATATATATATATATATATATATATATATATAAAATCAGTATATATTAAAAAATATATATATATATATATATATATATATATATATATTAAATTACATTAAATCAGTATATATTATATTAAGTATATATATTATATTAAATATATGTATATAATATATTCAGTATATATTACATTAAATCAGTATATATTAAATCATGTATTATTTATTAAATCATGTATATATTAAATTAAGTGTTATCTTTTTAAGACAGTATATATAATCAGTATATATTGATTTATTATTAATTTTATATATATATATATATATATATATTATATATATATATATATATATATATATATATATATATATATATATATATATATATATATATATATATATATATATAGAGGCTTCGGCAGGAATGACGGGCTATAGCCCGTGTCCGTCTCCGCACCCGTCTAAGTCAGTTTAGACGGGCGAAATAAAGCCCGTCTGAAACATAAGTTTTGTGTAAAAAAAAAGATGAATATTTTGATGTTTTTTTATTAAGATACTTTTTTAAAACTTCTCTCATGACATATTTTAATATGGATAGCAAACTCCAATTTATAATTGTTTATATTTAAATATAAAAATTAAACAATTTAATCATTATTGTATAACATGATGTAGAAAATAATATAACTAAATCTTACAGTTTTTTAAACGACGATAACTTTTTGATATAATACCAAACAGTTACCATATTATGTTCAAAATTTAATAACTATTATATTAAATAGGGAAATATACACATGTGATGCACAAGAAGTATCATGTTGTTTTGGTTTTTCAATGTTTATAATAATAACGATAATAAACTAATTATCCATGTATTTCGCTTTTTTCCGATAAACTAGTTTGTCTTACTTTAAAGACATTCAAAGTGATATTTCCGCGTTAACTTCCGCGTTAACTTCACGTTTTTTCTTAAAGAGACGGCAGTTTATTTAATATGCAATTATATAACTCGTTATTGAAAATGAAATATCTCATTAAAAATCAACAAACGTCTAATCAATTTTTGTAGAAAATATAAATAGTGTTGCTTTATAGTTATGAAGTTATTCAAGTTATCCAGTCATTCAAGTTTTTCAGTAAAGATAGTAATGGCATCATCTAGTAGAAGAGTTACATTAGCAAAATTTTTGAGTTGGGGTAAAGATGGAGTCTGTGGAAAAGAAACTGAAGTGGAGAATGAAACAATTTTTGTTGTGAAGATATGGTGTATGGTTTGTATAAAATATAAAAAAGAATTGCTTCGCGAGTTAAAAGGTCTGGCAAAATCAAAAGCATTAGCATTTATAGAGGGCACTACGAACGTTAAAGCTAGCAACATACATACGCTTATATACATGCTTATATTGTATATAAAGTAACGGAAGCCCCGGTATCTTAAGAAATTATTAGTACTTCTAAATAAAAACTTATTTTATTAAAAGAAATTAGATTTCAAATTTTTTATTCACGTATCAGAATAACTATTTCCGATCAGGATAGGCATAGGTAAAGCAAAGTTATAAAAATATAAATAACAGTTTAAGTTTTTAATTTGCACGCCCAATAGAATGCAAGAGTATATAAATAATTGAATTTGAAAAATAACATAGTTACTTATCATATTACCAAGCTAATACCAAACAATTCTAAAACTATCGAGCTCATTGATTCAAGGTTAAAAAAAAAAAAGATTTCAAACTATTTGCTGAATAATTAAAAAAATTAGATTTTGAAAATATTATGTAATATTTTTATTCACAAAGAATAAGAGAAACGAATGAACTAAAAAAGCACAATAAAAACCTGTATAATTTAATCGAATACTTGAATAAAACAATAATATATAAATATACTCAAAAAGACTTCGGTAAAAAAACACGTTAGGATGCTTGAATAAGGAAACGTGATGAAACGCCATGGTTGTTTCGAGGATTTTTCCCGTCGTTTTCACGTTCATTCGTTTGACTATATCTGCCAGATATTATCTGGAATAAAGATTAAAAAAAAAAAACATAAAAAACTGAATAAAGTTCCTTCGAGTAAGAAATCTAAACAAAAGCAACCATAAAACAACTAACCCACTTTAAACGAAATTAGATCTGTGCAAGTAAAAACTTTGAAAAACAATTATTGAAATCTTAGTTTTAAGTATTATCCAACTCATTTACTGCAGTGTTTTAATTACTTAAGTAATTAAGCATTTTAAACAGTTAATCGCTTTCTAACATATTATTTTAGTGCAGTTCACAAAATGTTTAATATTCATCGACATTTTCATTCAAAAAGAAGAAGAGAAATTAACAAATTTAAAAAAAAAAAAGTTCAAACTTTAGAATTTATTTTAAAGTTTAAAAAAGCCCGTGCAAGACCATCTAGACGGGCGGCCCTCATAGCCCGCCAAGTCTATTTAAGACGGGCTTTTCATAGCCCGTACGGTTTTTATTCCTGCCGAAGCCTGTATATATATTAATTCACCTCCACAATGCCAAGAAGGCCACTACAAATGAGGAAGCTACTGAATTGTAATTATTACCCTCTCTTAACTCAATAACTCCAAAACACAAACCTTGACGAACATGGTTGCTGCCTGGAGAAACAAGTTAAGCGCAGTACTACCAGGGAGGTGATGGGGATTGAAAATTGAAACCTCTCGCTTATGAAGCGAGCGCTCTACCACTACACCAATACTGCTTATATGAACATATATTTATTATTTTATATACAAATGAGTATAACTTATTTTTTTCTGTTTCCAAATTATTTTAAATTTATTATTTATTTTAAATGATTTAAATGATTTATAAGTCAAATTTATTTTTTAAAATTTTATATTTTATTACTTTAGGTGATTAAATGTTCAGAAATTTTAGAAAATCTTCACAACCTTCCAGTTATTCGCAAATATCTTAATTCGCTTTATGAATGCCAATACAAAGATTTTTTTATTGTATTAGGTTTGTAAAAAATTTTCATATTTTTATTTATAATGCTGAAAATGGCTATACAGAAACTTCAATATCTGAAATAACTTAGATTGAACTTTCATGACTTTGCTAAGTTCAAGGCATGTTTATACACCATGCATATATTCATATACTTAGAAATAAAAATTGTAATTTGTTATATAGAGGCCTTGTTTAAAAGCGTAAATTGGCATGCCATATATGTACACGCTAAGCCATTTAACGTAGGCACTAAGCCATTTTGGTTTAGCTACTTTTTATCATTTTTTAACATTTAAACAAGTCTAAGTCTGCTCTTTTATGCGTTTAGACAAAAGAAGTAATTAACATTGTAAAAACGTCTCTTGAAGTTTGAATGACGATTATGTAAAAAAGTTTGCATAAAAATTACGTTTGATATTAGCGCAATTTACAAATGTAAATTTAAAAAAAACAAACAAACTTTTATTTTTATTATTCTAACTTTTCCATCAAAAATGTTCAGCAAAAGAAAAAAAAAAAGATCTTATACCGCGCTTAAAAAAGAAATAATTCAAAAAATGCATTAAAAAAACTTTTTTTTTTATCATGTTGCAATAGCAAGAATATTGACAGTTTCTCATAACAAACAATAACAAAAATAATTTCTGAATTTTTTTAAAAATTAAAAAAAAATTTATTAATTAAAAAACAGCACATATTAAATTTTATTTTAAATTAGCGCCACTTTTGATATTTTAATTTTTTGTTTGTTTGTTTGTTTTGTTATAATGATTGATTATGAGATTCTCATCACGTTACACTTGCTCTTTTCAAGTTTTTCACATTTTTTTCCTTTGTTTATCATGTAGATTCTCATCATGTTACACTTTTGCTCTTTTCAAGTTTTTCACATTTTTTTCCTTTGTTTATCATGTAGATTCTCATCATGTTACACTTGCTCTTTTCAAGTTTTTCACATTTTTTTCCTTTGTTTATCATGTAGATTCTCATCATGTTACACTTTTGCTCTTTTCAAGTTTTTCACATTTTTTTCCTTTGTTTATCATGTAGATTCTCATCATGTTACACTTTTGCTCTTTTCAAGTTTTTCACATTTTTTTCCTTTGTTTATCATGTAGATTCTCATCATGTTACACTGATTTAATTTTAACTGTAAGTTGAAATTTTGTGTGAATCAATAAATAAAATTGATAACAAAAATAAAAAAATTTAGTATAGTTTTTTGTTTAGATCTATGTTTAAAGTCTATTGTTCCTTCTTTGGTTAGTTTAGACAGGTTTTCCTAATATCATTTTTAAATCTAAATATAACATTAAGGAAGAGTTAAAGCTTTTTTTTTTACATTCTCATGCCCAATCTGTTGTCTATCTGTGGTGTTCTATCTTGTGTTTTATCTGGTGTTAAGTTATTTTGCAGATCAGGACAGGGCTGAGTAACTCTTGGTGACAAAAATTTGTTGCAAAAAAAACACAAGCAGGAATAGCACAAATAAAAAAGGAATAGCACAAATGAACAAAATTTGTGTACAGAGTGACAATATATATATATATATATATATATATATATATATATATATATATATATATATATATATATATATATATATATATATATATATATATATATATATATATATATATATATATATATATATATATATATATATATTAACATTGAGACTTAAATAATGCTTTCTTGCTATTAAGATATATTACGTAAACTTTTCTGTATATATTATTGTATATATATACATTGTTCAAGGTTTTTGTCAACTTTTCTTTAACAAGATTTTTTCTTAAACTCGATTGTATTTTGCTATTGATTTTCATTTTCAGATTACCTATTATTTTCATACACATAATCATTAAGACCAAAATTCAACTTTTAATAATCTGTGACACAAGCCAGGTTATCAATTTTTGTAACACATTTTAAATTTTCCTCATCTAGGTAATTAATCACTAGGGTGTCTCTTAAAACAACATTTTTAAAAATAATCTGCTCTCACCCCCTAAATGTGTTCTAATACAAAAACACTAGGTTTAAATTTTTTTTGAATAAAAAAAATATTTTAAGGGGTCCCCCAAAATCCTTGAATATTTAATAGGTCCCTAATATTTAAAAAAAAAAAAAATTGAAAAATATGTCAATCTGGTGCTCAAATAAAGCAAAATTATATAAAAATTTTAAAAATAATATTCGTTTTGAAAAAAAAAATGTTATTTTTGGTTTTATTACATGAAAAATTGCGTTTTTAACAAAATTTAAAAAAATGCATTTTTTATGTTTTTTATTTTTTATGATAATTTTGATAAATAAATTAAAAAATTTTCGAAATGAGTATTATTTAAAAAATTTTTTTTTAATTTCGCTTTTAAATTTTGCTTCATTTGACATATTTTTGAAAAACTTTTTTTATTAAATATTAGGGATCCATTAAATATTCAAGGGTCTTGGGGATCCCTTAAAATATTTTTTATTCAAAAAAAATTTAAACCTAGTGTTTTTGTATTAGATAGAACACATTTAGGGGGTGAGAGCAGATTATTTTCAAAAAAGTTGTTTTTAAGGGACACCCTATTAATCACACTTGCATAGTGTGAAAATAATAAATTAAGCAAAATTACATATCTACCATTACTTTTTCAAGTTTACTTTTTCCATTATATTGTACATTCGGCTTATCAAATGAAATAATATATAAGTGAATTAAAATTATATCAGTGATAAATGATATTTTGAGTTTAAACTTAAATTAAAATTTTAATGAATTGAATCAGATGATGAGTAAAACCTAACTCTTTAAAAAATTATTTCATAGTTTCTGAGTTTTTGACAAATTCTTACACACTTTAGTTGCAACTGCTCTATACTGTTTAGAAAAGCCATTTTTACTTTAATTTATTTTACATTCAAATTTTTTTTATTTTTATTTTACTTTGTGTTTAGATATTTTGTTTTATTTTTAGTAATGTTATAATAGAAATATTTCATATGTTGAACTTTTTTCATTTTTTCTTTTATTAGTAATCATATTTTGTCATTGTTCATAACAACTTATAAATGCTGTAACAATTTTAATAACAATTTTAGTTGAAATTGAAAGGTACCTCCAATGCGATAGGTTACTATTTAATCATGTGACTTATTATATCAGAGAAATGAGAATCATAGCTTATGCACAGTTACTAGAATCATATCAAAGTTTAACTCTACAATATATGGGTGATGCATTTGGCGTTTCCTCTGACTTTATTGATAAGTATGTAAATAATTTTTTTATCATTTTTTGTGTTTATATATTCTATAAAAAAAAAAAACCTAATATAGAAAGCATGTTTATTGCTATATTTCTTAAGTATTTTATTTTTTTTAAATGGGTTTGCCATGGGGAAACAACCTTTTTTTTTTTTTCATTATGCTTTGTTTTTGTTTTGTTTTTTCTCTGAAAATGTTGCATGCTAGAAAGATAAGAAAAACTTGTAAAATTTGGTATATATAAGCTATAGTAGAATCAGAGTGGAAAATAAGAAATCAAAGGCGAGCAGTCAATTTGACCGGCTAACACATGGAATTAACTGTCAATTTTTTTTTTGAAGGTCAAAATTTTTATTTTATTCTTTGTTTAGAATTTATCTGAAAAACAAAAAATGCGAGTTCATTAATTTTTAATGCTTTTTTTTTTATTCACCTCCTCAAGGCCAAGAAGGCCATTACAGACGAGGAGGCTACTTATTTGTGGCTATAACCCTCTCTCAACTCTATAACTTCAAAACACGAACCTTGCAAATGAATAATTTTATATGTCTGATATAAAACAATTTTTTATCTCTGCTCGTTTAAAAAACTGTAAAAATTAGTTATTAATAACTTGACTAACACTCGTGCCCATATTTTTTACTATTTAAACTTGGTACTTACTACTAAGAAATGCGGTAGTGGTGTAGTGGTAGAGCGCTCGCTTCATAAACAAGTGGTTCCGAGTTTGATCCCCAGCACGTCCCTGGTAGTACCGCGCTCAACTCGTTTCTCCGCGCAGCGGCCTTGTTCGTCAAGGTTCGCGTTTCGGAGTTATAGAGTTGAGAGAGGGTTATAGCCACAAAATAAGTAGCCTCCTCGTCTGTAGTGGCCTTCTCGGCCTTGAGGAGGTGAAGTAAAATAAAAAAAAAAAAAAAAAAAAAAAGAAGAAATAGTTTAATGAAACACTTCTACAAAATTTACTAGTGTTACATAAAATGAGATTTTACTAAACATATAATTTTTTAATCATCCTATTTTAGAGAATTTTAAATTTACCTATAAATCATTCATTTATTACATTTTGTAGCAAAAACTTAAGAAAAAAAAAAAAAAAAGATTTAAAAAAAGAAAGAAAAAAAAATAGTGACTGAGTACATTTAAAAGAAAAAATGTTCTCAGATAAATACAGCAATTATTATATATTTTTATATTACTATAAAAAATAATATATTAAATATTTTAATTAAAAATAATGATATAATAAGAACTTCAATCATTCATGAAAAATAGGTTTTTACCCACCAGTAAAATAAAGATAATTTAAAAGAGAAGCAAAAAAAAAAAGTTATAGTTTATGTAACAAATTCGTTGTTAAACGGCGGTCGTTAACCATTGACCAGCTGTTTTTTGTTTTTTTTTGCATGGTACAATTGTTAAATATTTTTCATGCTGGTACAATTGTTAAATAATTTTAACTTGACAATTTTTATTCTTAGGGAACTTTCTCGTTTCATTTCTGCAGGACGCTTGAATTGTAAAATAGATAAGGTTGGAGGAATTGTTGAAACAAATAGGTATGTCTTTTTTAATTTATAACTCAACAATTAAATCAGCCCAAATGAAATCTTAGTTGTCTGCAAAAAATTATCACAATGTTGTTGGTTTTCCTATATTGATAATTGGCAATGCTCTTACTGAGTCCCCTATGCCTTAATCTGCAGTCTTCCTAGATTATTTTAAATACTGACCATATATAGTAAATAAGGCCATATTAACCCTGGTATGCCTTTTTTTTCTATATTTACCTCCCCAAGTTTGAGGAGTTAAAGATATCTATTTATTTTTATGTGTGTATGGCAATGTCTGTTTGTGTACAGTAGTAAAACAGACTTGTACACAATTTGTATCTATGAACAGTTTAGCTTTTGTATGTTTCTTTACATGTAGGTTATAGTTGTGTATTTTTTGCCAATATTAATTGCACTCTATGGCTTTCAGTGTTAAAATTGTTCTACAGAAAAATTTGCCCTGGATGGTATTTATGATGTGTTGCTCATCACTTAGAGCTTGCATTAAAGGACGCATTAACAAAAAATGGTTTTAATGACATTGAAAAAATGCTACTATCTTAATGTTATTTTTACAAGGATACTATAAAAAAAATTTCAATGAAAAGAGATTCACAATGCTAATAAAAAAGGAATGGAATTTGATAATAGTGAACTTTGACCCAAAATATGTAACAATCGGTTACCCACAAAAGGAATAAAGTTGTCATGGTTAATATGATATGTTTCCTGTTGAATACAAAGGATCTTTTTGATTTATTAAAAAAAAAAAAGAATTTGTAAAGCTCCCACACGGAAATATTGACAAGTCACTTTATTACATTTAATCCATTAAAAAAAAATTTTTTTTAAACATGTGAAATGTTGCGCTATAGTTCGCTTAGAATAGCAGAAAAACAAAACAAATATTTAACTTGACATAACTTATTTATTATATTGTTTTGAAACTCCTTTAAAATTTGCTGGCCTAAATGTGTGTCAGTTGTGTTAATTATCGTTTTTTGATTATCCCCTGGATTATCTTTCTATACTAATAATTTGCACAAACTGAGAATAATATTCTCTTCTCTGTAGAGTAAGAAATGAAAGGGTGTATTAAGAAATGAAAGGGTGTATTAAGAAATGAAAGGGTGTATTAACAATGAGTGTAGTAAGAATGTTTCCCAAGTTCAATTAAGTTAATACTTTAGATGCTCTTTGTCTACTCAAAGATTAGAACATTTGTTAAAATTCTGGTTCACCTGTAGAAAAGTATAACATTATGCCAGATGGGAAACCCTTTGTGTAAATTGTTTTTTGCTGACTTGATGCAGACCTCTTACAGTTTAAGGTTGTCAATAAATTGCTGGTCTTAAACTGTAAGAGGTTGGCATCAATTCTTAGGGCTTTTTTTTTTTTTTTTTTTTTTTTTTTAATTCACTTCCTCAAGGCCGAGAAGGCCACTACAGACGAGGAAGCTACTTATTTGTGGTTATAAACCTCTCTCAACTCTATAACTCCGAAACACGAACTTTGACGAGCAAGGCCGCTGCGCGGAGAAACGAGTTGAGCGCGGTACTACCAGGGACGTGGTGGGGATCGAACTCGGAACCACTCGTTTATGAAGCGAGCACTCTACCACTACACCACTACCGCATAACCGCTTACACATATAAATAGTTAAATTAGGTTTAATAAAAATTTATATAAAAAATAACCTTTATATATGCAATTCAATAAAAAACTCACAAGTTTTTCAATAAAGTAAATTTAATGAAAATTTAAGTCTGTTTAAAAAAAAGAAATTTAATTTCTAAAAAAACAGAATTTTGAATTTAAACAAAAATCGAATTTGAATTTAATTTAAACAGAATTTTGAATTTAAACAAAAAAAGATGATAAAAAAACTTTGAGTAAAAAGGAGAAAAACTACAACATAACTAACATTATTTAAAACATTATTAACTAACATTAATTAAACCAGAAAAATGTGATACTGATTTCAGTTGCATAATTCAGTTCTTTAAAACCCAGATATGCCCATAGCTAATCTAACCAATCTGATCTGTAGTACTTTTTCACTTATGAGATTTAAAGACCTGTTTTTTTCCTGTGTCCCTTCTAAACAAGTGGGAAAATATTTTTAATAGATAGTTTGTGTCTAAATCTTATTTTAAAAATCTGTTTAGTGTGCAAACTCAAAGTTTGGTATTAAAAGTCATGCTGGAAAAGTTGTTTGTTGTGTAAAGGAGAGAGTTTTTTGGATGGTGGAGTAAAATGAACACCTGGCTTGTCTGATTATTATTGCAGTAAATTTGCTGAGAATCTAAAATCAAAAATGGCTAGTTGTAAAAATCTAAAAGTTTTATATCTTGAATAGGATCCAAATGAGATTGAAAAAAATATAGTTCTAGTACCTAGGTTGTAGTTCCAGTACCTAAGTTGCATACATTAATTGTAATAATTATGACTTTTGGAAAATATTAATGCTTTGAACACTGCATTAAATTACATATATTTTTAGAATCTACCATGCCGTTGAATTTGATGCCAATAGGCTTTAGATAAATTTGATCTTTTTTATTCTTTTAGATCTTTTTGCTCATGATATTGCTGATCAAGAAAAACATGATTTATTTCCAATAATTGAACATCTAAGAAAGTTTTAAGTAATCTAACAAGGGAATTAGGGTAAAGCTCTTGGTTTTTAAGAGTTGGTAAAACACGTTGTGTTGTCATGGTATAAAAGATGACACAACCACTCAAACTATACTAAATGATTAGAGTCAATTGTTGGTGGGGTAAAACACTTGGTGTTTAAGATAGGGTAAAACACCTAGTGTTTAACCATTTTTAACCTTTAGAGTAAAAAATGCTGATATTGAATCTGCTGTTATGAAATTCAAGATGTCAAGACTTTAATGAAATATCTACTATTTAAATGTTATCAATTTTTACTTTATCAATAACTACTTTTTAGACGTTTCTTTAAATGTACCTTAGAAAGTCGTGTTGTACTATTTTTAAAAAGTACTAATACTGATAATGGCCTTGGGGTTTTTTCAAGCAGATGAGTCTGCTAATCATGTGTTTAAAAAGACATAGTATAAAAGATGACACAACCATTCAGTTTATGCTAGGTGATAAGAGTCAAACTTTCATCATTTAATAAACAGTTAATTTTTTTTTATTCAAATTAATATATTGATGACCTTAATGACAATAGTGTCAAAATTGTTATTCTTATATACAACTTGGATTTACAAGTATTTTAATATTGTTGAAGGTACTGTTGAGTATACTGTTGAAGGTAATATTTGTGTATTGAAAAACATAATAAAAATAATTTTTTTTTTCAAAATTTTGTTTTTATACCAACATTTTTTTTGCTATGTAATTTGTTGAATAATTGAATAATAATAATGTCAAAATAATTTTCAATGCATTTTAAATAATTTTACAAGTACAAAGTAAAATTAGGTTGACACATTTTTTTTTTAACTATGTAAAATTTTAAATTATGTACATCAATATAGTTAGCCTTTTTTCGGTTTACTTTTTTTATCTTTTTTTTTTTTTTTTTTTATTTGCATTCACTCCCAACAAGGCTGCAAGCAACCATTATTAAGTTGGAAGTTACTAGGAAAAAAAGAACAGAGTTATTGAGCAAGGAAACGGTTGACAGAAGACTTAAAAAGTTGAAGGTTGTAGGAGTCAGGAAAACATAAAGATGGGAGAAAGTTCCAAAGGGTTGAAGTGCGGGGAAAAAAACTAGGTGAATAAAAGTTTTTAGAGCATGCAGGGACAGACACAGTAAACGAATGAGACTTAGCTGAATGATGAGTAAAACGAGAATGAATTTTAGTTGATGAAACTAGAGATGATAACTCCTTTGAGCAGTGACCATGATAGTATTTGTAGAAAAGAGAAAGAGATGCAACTTTACGACGATGGGAAAGAGGTTCAAGCTTAGCAGATAGCCCAGGTCCAACAACATTTACAATGCGATTTTGGACCTTGTCAAGAAGAGAAAGTGAATCGTTAGAAGAACCAGCCCAAATATGACAACAGTATTCCATACAGGGACGAATAAGAGATTTGTAGAGGTAGAGAATGGAATCAGAAGTAAGGAAATGGTGAGCACGATAAAGAGAAGCAACCTTAGCAGAAGCTAATTTAGCAATCGATTGTATATATGGTTTCCATGAAAGGTCATTAGTAAGCGATAATCCAAGAAGACGTAAAGAGGAGGACTCAGTAAGAGGATTGCCATTCATTAATATAGGAATGTTGACCATATTACGGTAGTTGTTTGCAGTTAGCAACTGGGTTTTTTTAGAGTTGAAATTCACAAGCCACTGTGAACCACAATCTATAACTGAAGTGAGATCGGATTCAAGATCAGCTGCTTGTTCTAGGCAATCGAAAAGAGAAGACTTTTTGTCAAGACAGGAGTATAATGTTGAGTCATCAGCAAAAAGAGCTACTTTAAGAAGATTTTTCAAAAGTCTTTAGAGCCTAACTTCTGCGATAAGATGCGAAATTTAGTGAACTGAGAATAATGGAGTTTAGCATCAGAAAGCACCTTTTTACATCGATTTCTTGCAATAATAAATAGCTGTTTGTTCCCAAGAGAGTTGTTCTTTTGAAAAAAATGATTACAATTGGATATAGCAGCCGCACAAGAAGGAGAAAACCATGGAGTAGAATGAGGTTTGACTTGAAACCGACGCGAAGGAATAAAAGCTTCCATTCCAGCCTGAATTCAGGAGGTTAAGTAGGAGGCGCATTTATCAGCTGAAAGAAAAAAAACATCAGCCCAAGGACCATCATGAAGAAAATCACGAAAAGAATCCCAGTCAGCTTTAGGGTAGTAGTAGGTGGTGCGATGGTAAGATGAGCCCAAAAAAGAAGTATGAGAAGAAAGATTTATAGAGATCATTGCATGGTCAGAACCACTTAAGGGAGAAAAGGGAGAAACTGAACATAAGCTAGGATCAAAAACAAGATATAAGTCAAGGAGTGAAGGTAAATGATTAGGGTTGTCAGGAAAGCGAGTCACAAAGTTAACTATCTGAGTAAGAGATTGAGAAACGCAGAAGTTAAAGGCTTTAGTGCCAGCAGGATCAGTGGTGTTAGAGCCAAGCCATTTAGTGTGATGGGCATTAAAATCACCAACAACAACAATATTGGCAGAGGGGTAAAGAGAGAGGGCAATGTCAATTTGATCAGAGATAACATCTAAAAGAGTGCAATCATGGGAAGAAGGAGAAAGATAAAGAACAAAGAGAAAAGTGATAGAGTGAAGTGGTGCTAGGCGAAAGCACATAAAAGAATGGTCAAAGGATTCGAACCTGATTTCACTACAAATAGGGGAATTAATACGTATGTGTACCCCTAAACCTAGCATGTGACTATTAGAGTCTTTACAAATCAAAGGATAGTACCCATCAACACTGACATCTAAAGAAAGAATTGTAGAATTTGTTTCACTGAGTGCAAGTCTGGTGAATTTTGCAGGAGGTAAGACTCAACTGACGAAAAGTTGCTTTGCACACCGCGAATATTTATAAAAGATATATTAAAACATTAAGGTGGTGGGGATGGTTTTTTAGGTTTAAAATTTTTGGTTACTTTGGTCATGATTTGGGTTTAATGAGAACTTGACTCATTCATAGATAGAGCACAGCCTCCTAATCAATGAGCTATGCAGTTGTCTCAGTCCTGTTAATTAACCCTAAGCCGTGACATAGGGCTCCTTATGTGGCCTCGACAATGTACACCAAAAGCATTAACAGGGACACCATCCATGCGCAACATTGCACTGTTAATACTCTGATATTTTGCAGCTGTTGATGGAATCAGCCTCTCTGAGAGCTACCACAGAGTTTGGGAAACTTTACTACCAGCCGGCCTCAGAACCAATAAACTGAGTTTTAGAGCTGTACCCTCATATGGAGATAACAGGAAGAGTTGCATAGCCATTATCTAGGAGGCATAAGCAAAATTATATGAGTAGAGTCAAGGAGATCCAGCATTCATCATCCTAGGCAGGAAACAATGTAACACAGGTTACATCTACGCCAGCCTAATAGATGAAGAAGGGGTTCGAGGCTGGTTAGCAGAATTTTTCTGCTTACCCCTAAAGTTTTTAGTCGGAGTTTATTTCTCCTAGCCTTTGCCTAAGAAGAGCACACTCTGCAAAGAAGCAGGACTTGTGGCAGGTGGGACTGGCTTATGTGATACCAGTAGCAAGATTGATCTTGATTATCCTGACCTGATCTGGAGTAGCTAAAAGGAGTTACTTCTCGCAACAGTACTTTGAGAAAACCAGGCATGACATTTTGGAAGTGCATTAGGAAAAACGCTGCATCTAACAAAATACAGGAGTCTAAGGTGAGTGTAGATTTCGTAGTTGGAGTTAGTGGCTAGTTACTCAGCTCACGCCGCATCAGAGAATAAACAGAACACAAACAAACATAAATCAACTCATGGGTAAGTCAACACCGCGCCAGAGGTTCAGACAGAACACAAACATACATAAAAAACATAAAGTAACTTACGGGTGAGCAAACACCGTGCCAGAGGTTCAGACAGAACACAAACATACATAAAAAAACATAAAAAACATAAAGTAACTTACGGGTGAGCAAATGCTGCGCCAGAGGTTCAGACAGAACACAGACATACATAAAAAACATAAAGTAACTTACGGGTGAGTGAACACCGCGCCAGAGGTTCAGACAGAACACAAACATACATAAAAAACATAAAGTAACTTACAGGTGAGCGAACACCGCGCCAGAGGTTCAGACAGAACACAAACATACATATAAAGAAGATTACAGGTGAGCTAATACAGTAACTAAGGCACCTCCAACTATATAAAAAAAAAAAAAAAATTACTTTAGGCATGACTGATATAAGATAGTACTGATGACAGGAAGCACACTCCTTCCAGCCTTTGCTTAGAAAGCAAATCCTGCAAGGCAGCAGAACATGGAACAGTTTCTTAGTCTAAATGTGTGAATTTCTTAGTCTAAATGTGTGTCTAAATGTGAATTTCTTAGTCCAAATGTGAATTTTTTAGTCTGAATGTGTGAAATTCTTAGTCTAATTGTGTGAATTTTTTGTTCTATTGATTTCTATGGATGTTATTAATAACCTTAGTTTATTTATCTTATATATATTTTATAATAAAAAGAATGGGGAGTGTGCATATATCAAATCTGGCAGTCACTGTGAAATATAAATACAAAAGTTTTAATTTCTTAATAACATTCAAACTTGCTCTTTAATTTTTTTTTTTTTTTTTGTGTTAAGTTTTCATCTTTTTTAATTTTTAAATTATTTATTATTATTTTCAAAATGACAAAATCAGTTTATTTTATTTAGACCTGATTCAAAGAACCATCAATATCAGGTTTGTTTTATTTGTATTAAACTAATTTTTTTTTACAATACAAATTTTTTTAAATCAGAAGGAAAAAAAAGAATTTTTTTTTTATGTTTTTCAATGATAATTTTATTGGTAGGTTTGCTAATGTTTTTGTTATTATTTAATGTTATTAATTAATGTAATCGTATTGATAGGTTTTTAAATGATAATTTTATGATGAATTTTAATGATGTATTTTATTATGATAATTAATAAAACTCAGTCATATCATAAAGAGAGGGCTACAGTTAAGGAAATATCTCTATAATTTTGGAGGCTACTCTTCATTTTCTTTTCTTTTTTATAATGTTGATCATTGTTGAAACCCTCTATCCTGTAACCTCTAAAAGAAGAAAGAAAGAAGTTGCAATAGCTTATACATTAGGGTGGATTGAAAAACAGACTTTTTTTTAAATTGTTTTCTAATAGCTCTAAATATATGCGATGTAATAAAGTATCACTGGATTAACAAAATATTTCGAAAAAAAAATATTTTTAAGTCCCTTGAACATTTATAGGTTCCCTAATTTTCTGGGGAAAAAAAGTTCTTCAAAAGTAGGTCAACCTGGTAATCAAAAGAAGCGCAAATTTTATAAAAAGTTAAACAATAATATTTTTTTCATATAAAAATTATTATTTTAAATTTTATTACATATTAACTATGGTTTTTTAGCTAAAAATTAAAAAAGTGCATTTTTACAAGTTTTTCAATAATATAAATTTTTTCAATGTTTTTTTATAAAACAGTTATTTTTTTCGAACTTTTTATAAAATTTCACTTTTTTGAGTATCAGGTTGACCTACTTTTGAAAAAAAAATTTTCCGAGAAAATTAGGGACCCTATAAATGTTCAAGGGACTTGGGGCACCTCTAAAAATATTTTTTTTTCAAAATATTTTGTTAATCCAGTGATATTTTATTATATCGCATATATTTGGAGCTATTAGAAAACAATTTTAAAAAAAGTCTGTTTTTCAATCCACCCTATTATACATATAATAGTTCATTTGCAGTTATTCACCCCCAAAATATATTTAAAAAAATATTTATTTTGTTATTCTCTACACTTTAACAACTTTTAACTCTTGAATAAACAATTCGGTTTAGTTAAAAAATTTTACAAACAAAGAAGCAAATATCCAAAATTGGGATTTGAATTTCTTTTGTATTATTTAAAAACTTTTTGTAGTTTTAAAACTACCTTTACTAAAACAAAATAAAAAAGAATTTTTTAGCAAAACAAAGTAGAACTAAACCACTGTAAAACCAATATTTATAACATGTTGCTACTTAGTAATCTTTTAAATAATATTTAAATAAAACTTTTTATCTGCAAGTTTCTTTATTAAGTTTTTTTCATTGTTCAATGGAAAATAGTTAAGGTCAATAAAGTCATGTGTCATTAAATCTGTTACTACAGGAGCTATGCAGCTTTTATTTTCTATGGTCATAACATTATTTGCTGCGAGCAAATATTCAAAATGAAAAGCTACCCTAAACCCAAGTTTATCAGTTATTAGTTAGCCATCGCCTATGGTCTATATTATATATCTATGGTGTAAAATTATATTATTCATACTACACTTAGAAAACCTTATAACACTTTCTTCTTAACAACTACGACAACATGAGTATTTTACTAGAAATCGTATTCTTTTCTGGTACATGTATTAAAGATTACATATAGAAACTATTATTTACATTTATTATATTAAAATGACTTACATAACTTTTTGTTATTAGGTCATTTTTATTATGCTAAGTTGTGACATTTTTTAATTTTTCAATAAAATAAACTTTGTTATAGTCATTCATAGAAAAGAGTTCATCGATTTGTACTATCGGAAATAATTTTTGAGAAGGAAAAAAAAATTATAATTTATCACTTTAATATACGCAATTATAAACACACAAACACACAGAGTTTATCTATAACTATTAATAATTGATAACCTTTTTTTGTACATTTATTCACAATAATGCATTATTTAAATTATGTTTTTTATAAAGCATTTTTATGTATATTACCATTTTATATTATTTATATCAAATTAATAATGCATCAAATATATTGTGTTATTTTAAATATCACAATATATTTGATATGTTGTGCAGATGAATATATGATATCAAGATATAACTTGCTACCTCTGCGATAGAGGTTTGAAGATATGTGCATTAGTTGTGATTTCAGAATGTAATTCAATGTATTTTAATAAAAAAATTTGATGATTTGATAAAAATCATTTATGAGTTTAAAAGAGTTTAAAAAAAAAAAAAAACTTTATGCACAATAAAAATCAGATATCCTTCTTAAATATATTAGATACCTTTTCAGATGAGCTGTGAATAAGGTTGCTGTGAGTAGGTTATTTTTTAACTGATTATTTTTCAAAAAGAAAAAAAAACTTTAAATAATGAAATAAAAAAATTTCAAAGTTAATTTTCTAACATTTCAAGTGTAATGAGAATTTCTCTAGTATTCGCAATATGTTTCAAGTGTATTGAGAATTTCTCTAGTATTCGCAAAATGTTTCTGCGTCACGTCTTTAAAATAATTCTTTGATTTAATCATTTTAACGTCTTTAAAGTACTTATGTTTAATTTTTTATATTATTTTTATTACGTCTTTATACCAATTAGGTTTAATTTATTATATTGTTTTTACTAAATAATACCATATTTTTTGTTAACTATTACACTTATTTATTACTATTGCGATATTTATATATGCTACAAATTTAAAATAAACTGGAGTTTATGTACGTATTTTTAATGCGATTAAATTCTAATTTGTATTTTTTTATATATATACTTTACGTTTTTATATATTTTTTACACTTTAGGCTGTCATAAAGCAAGGTGACGCCCTTCTAAACAGAATTCAAAAGTTAAGCCGGGTGATTACTATATAGTCCGAATATCCGTGTTATCAGTTTCAAAAAATTATTTAGTATATGATGAAAGAATGTTAATGTAGATTTTGTTGCTTTTTTTTTTTGCTTAATTATGTCAAAGTATTTGTTTTTATTCTAAAATAAGTTTTACAATGTTTTTACAATATAAAAATAAACGGATAGAAATTTTGACCAGAGCTGGCAAAAAACAATGCCAAAATGAGACAACGACAATAACAAAACCAAATCTAGTCACAAAGTATTGATTTTATATGACTTTTTTTAGACTTCTATGGGAAGAGTAGGGTAGAGCGAACTAGTTAAGCATAGGGGCAAGCTGGGAAATTAAAATATATTGAAAACTACGTACTGTATGACAAAACATATAATGGATAAAATTAGGGAATTAGATAAGCAGCCGTGGCGCAGAGGTTATAGTTCAGACTCACAACTAAGAGGTTTCACCACGGTACTAGCCCAATAAGCAACATTGGTAAAGTTGCTTATTATTATATACAGTATTAGCCATAAATAACAATCCAGTATATATATTTTTTTGATATCATCGCTTCTTTGATTGAGACTAAATGAATGGTTGTTTGACTCTTCTTAAATATAATGTAGGGGAAGGTTGCATAAGTTGAGCATGTTAACAGTGCATTGTTTTTTGCAGCCAAAATTTTATAATATTTATATTTATTTTTGCAGATTATCAAAATTTAGTCTTTCCTCTTAAAGAATATAAATGAATAGTTCATTCATTCAAAAAAAAAATCTTTTTACCAAAACTTGCGTTATTTTTAACTCACCCAATCGTATCTTAGGAAACCACCTAAGATAAGCTTTTGTTAATGAAACTCAAAATTACAAAAAAAAAAGTTTAATAAAATTTTATCTCTAAGGACGATACTCAAGTAAAAAGTAATTCTCAACAATAAAAAAAAAACAATAAATTTTGCCTATTTCTAAAAAAAAGTTTGCAATACTATTTTTTGAGAAAACTTTCGCTCTTGAAATACCAAAATGAAACTTTGTGGAGAAAACTTTAAAAAACGCGCTTAATTAGCCAAAAAAAAAATAGTAGTCTACCCTTAAAAGAGGTTATACCTTCTTAGGAACATGCTCATCTCATGAAACCGTCCCCTATACTAATGAGCATTCTGTTTTCTTTTAAATAAATATAGATACTCATAAAAATATTATTTGATGTGCTAATTATATTGTTTTTTGTTGTTTTTATGACATATCGCATAAACTAAAATAATAATTATGGCCAAAATTAACAATGCGCTCTATTATTTCAAACTTCAAAATTTAATTAGTCTTTGGTTAAAACTTCGCACTTATTTGCGAACTATTAATAATAATATGAGAATTTTTATTTAAATTGTAATAAATATTTGAAGAAAAAAAAGTTTATCATCTACTGATCTCAGTCGAAAAAGACAAAAAGCTTTCAGTGTTGTTGCTAGTGATCAAACGATTAGAAGATTTCAAAAACATAATAACATGTGGCGAGCTGCTTGCGAAAAACCACGTCTATTAATAAAACATCAGAAAACAAGAAAAACTGGTGTTTAGCTCATAAAATTTGGTTTTATGAACATGTGGCACAACGTTCTTTTTAGGGGTAAAATAAACTTTAAGGTTGATTAAAAAAAAAATTAATGCTGAGAAGAAAGCCTCATGAAAAAATGGACCCAAATTATTCTACGTATAGAGCAGAACATGGTAGTGGTAGTCCAGGCATCTGGGTCTGCATAAACTACGAAGGTGTTGGGTGTTCCGAAATAGTTGATGGAAGACACAATTCTTAAAGATATTTAGACATACCGGATAACTATTTAATGCTTTTTATTGACATTTTCCCAAAAGATATGTCAAAATAATGCTTCGTACTGCTTAGATTTGCAAACGATTGTTTAAATAAAACAACATAAAAACCATGTCTTGGCCTGCCAATAGTACAGATTTCAATTACATTGTGAATTTATGTTCTGGGTTAAACCACATTCTTGGCAAAATTGATATAAAAGAGCTGGACCAGATGAAAGAATCAGTAACAAAATTACTGAATTGTGTACTCAAAATTTTGTGAACTCCATGCCAAAACGCATCAATGAATGCTTGATATAAAAGGTTAAATAAAAAAAAAGCAACTTTTTTATAGTACTTAAATTTTCTTGTCATTTTTGGCACTTATAAGCCATATATTTCCATAGACTTCCATAGACATATAATATATTGCTGATAACTGCCGAAAATAGCATGAAAATTTAAGTAACGTAAAAAAAATTTTTTTTTTTTTTTCATTTGACCTTTTATTTATTGATCTGTTTTGTGATTATTTCACTCTATATCGATTACTCTCGAATCGAAAAAGAGTTGATTATATATATTAGGGTGGGCCATAAAATTTTTTTTTCTTGTTACAGGCTCTAAACATTGCTAGAAAGTTGTTTTTTTATGTACTTATTTAGGAAAGTATTTACTTTTATGGATTGAATAATGTCTTCCACCCGCAACTATAATTACAAAAATTAGCATGCCCTATTATTATTCAAAAAAAAAGTTTTTCAAAATTATGTGATGTAGGTACTCAAATAAAGCGAAATTTTATAAAAATTTCAAAAATAATAACTTTTTCATATAAAAACTATTATTTTAGATTATTTTGCATAATAACTATAGTTTTTTAACTAAAAGTTAAAAAGGTGCATTTTTAAATGTTTTTTAAAAAACAATTTTTTTCAGCAATATGATTTTTGTAAAACGATTATATATATATATATTATTATAACGATATATATATATATATATATATATATATATATATATATATATATATATATATATATATATATATATATATATATATATATATATATATATATATATATAGTGGCGCGTCACTGTGTATTTATTTTATATATACCTTCCTACGCCATGGCGTTTAAATATTTTTATAGATTTTTAAATGTTTGAAATAACCAGCTTATAAACAACAAGAATAGTCCAAATTTTTTTACGTTCATATGTATGACGAAAAAATTCTTTGAAAAAAAAATTACTGTGATAGGAGAATGGGAACAAGATACCCTAAAATCTGAGCCCCCTGCCCCAAACGTGAGAGCAACAAGTTGATGAAATATTTTTTGTACTAATTTCAATTAGATTTTTATTAATTTAGAAATTTTAAATTTTATAGTAAAATATTTTAGTGTTCAAAAATTATGACCATATAAAATTTGCAACCCCCTCAAATTGAGGGGGTTTAATTTCATCAACTTGTTGCTCTCACGTTTGGAGCAAGGAGAAAGGCTAAGATTTTAGGGTTTCTTGTTCCCATTTTCCTATCACAGTAATTTTTTTTTTCAAAGAATCTTTTCGTCATACATATGAACGTTGAAAAATTTGGAATAGTCTTGTTGTTTATAAGTTGGTCATTTCAAACATTTAAAAACCTTCCTATGCCACTGTATAAACACCATAATATGTACTCGATTCCTTCCGATGTTACGAGCAAAAATATTTGTTATATTTCACAGACGGTTCCGAGGAATTTTCTATAAAAATGCGGCATCATATAAAAAGCACTAATTTTTATGATATTTGACAATATCTAACTAAATTTTTTTTTTTTTTAACTTTTTGTTCTTTAATCCTTACAAGTTCGTAATATATAATATAACCATTTACAGAATATAGTAAAATTAAAAAAAAAAAAAAATCACAAAGTTACGTTATACAAAGAATGAATAAAATAAACTGTAAAGAATTAGAAATTACTTTAAAGAACGCGGGAAACTTGCAGAAGGCCGATGTCACCTTGTTATCAAGAAACCGCTAAGCGTTACTAATATTTTTGGATACTTCAATTTAAAATAAGTTTATATTTAAAAAATAATGTTATGAGTTTCAGCAGAATAAAAATAAAAATGCAAAATGCAAAAAATAAAAATAAAAACAAAGAATACAGACAAAAAGTTTTTAATTTTTTTAATTTTATTTCAATACACACAAGTATAAGTAGGTACACGATTTGCTAAATAGGTAATATATAGTTCACGTGTTGATAATTAAGCCTATTATTTATTATTTGTTGTTGTTGTTCCTTGTTTTTTTGAGTTATATAAAGTTTTTTAGAGTTATTAGAGATGGTTTCGGAAGTTAGTTTTATACATAGTTTGAAATGTTTTTGGGTTAATAGAAATTCATAAAGTTCATAGTGCTTAAAATAAGATCTTTTAATAACGTTTTTAGAGTATTTAAGTTTTTCGATTTTTCCAGTTGAGAGTTTTTGGATATTAATTTGTTATATAGACAAGGACCATGGTACGAAATAGAAAAGCGCGATAAATTAGTTTTTTTAAAAGGTACGTTGAAGTTTCCCGTTCCTCTGGTATGGTATCTGTTTTTACTATTTTGAAAGAAATTCTTTAAAAAGTGAGAAGGAACAAGTCCAAGTTTATATTTGAGCATAAACAATAAATTTTGGAATATATTGATTTGATATACATTTAATGCTTTTAAATTTTTTAAAAGTGGTACAGCATGCGAGAATTTATCCTTATAAAAAACTATTCTGACAGCATGTTTTTGTTTCTAATATAGTGTGGTTAGTTTGGATTTATGAGTACTAACCTATGCAACATTAGCGTATATAGGTTTGCATGAACGAGAAGTATAGGAACTTTAAATTATCAGGAGACAGTATAAAACTAGCTTTATTTAACTATAGAACTAGCTTTATATTTTGATATTTAATATATCTATATGTGATTTCCATGAGATGTTCTCATCAATAAGTATCCCTAGAAGTTTAGTTGCTTGGGTTCTCTCTATTTCTTTAGTATCTATATTTAGCAAAGGTAAATCGGGAGGAATTTTTATATGGTTAGAATGAAAAAGAATGTATTTGGTTTTTTCTGTGTTAAGCGATAGTTTTTTAGATTTTAACTGTTTATTTTTTCAAGTTCAGTATTTGTACTTTCATAAAGTTCTGTAATAGATGAGGATGCATAAAATAAACTAGTGTCATCTGCGAACATTATAACATCCAATTTACTTGAGGCTTTAGGAAAATCGCTTATGTATATTAAAAACAAAAGAGGTGCAAGAATGGAACCTTGGGGGACACCGCATTTTATTTTGAGTAATTTTGAAAAAAAACTTTCATGATCAATAACGCATTGTCTTCTGTCTAGTAAAAAGTTTTTGAACCAGTTCAGCGCAACACCTTTTATCCCATATTTTTCCATTTTCCTAATTAAGATAGCGTGATCTACTGTGTCAAACGCCTTAGATAAATCAACAAAGACTCTAAGGACGTATTATTTGTTTTCAAAGTAGTCATTTATACTATTTATAAGATCGAGAACAGCGTGTTCGGTTGAATGTTGCTTCTGGAAGCCAAACTGTTTTTCATTTAGGATTTTTTTAATTTGTTAGATATTTATACAGTTTATTGTATATTACTCTCTCCAAAATTTTTGAAAATACAGGAAGAACTGAGATAGGTCTGTAATTGTTTAGTGTAAATGAATCCCCGGTTTTTAATATTGGTATTACCTTAGCTATTTTTAATTTATTCGGTACAGATCCTGTAATAATTGAAGGTTTAAATATTTCACAGATTGGTTGTTTTATCACCGGAAACACATTTACAACTATATAGCTGCAAATGCCTACATACTCTAAAAATTTTTTGCATATATCTTTTTTTTTTTTAAATAGTATTGGCTAAAATAACTATAATCAAAAAACAAAACATAAAAAACTAAAAGTTGATCTAAACTTTAATTTTAGATTTTATTATCAATAACATTATTAATTCCTTTTTGATCTTCCTGATCGTACGTATTGTTAAAGATTATTAGTACTACAGACTCAGACTAAAGTAAATAACATTATGATAACATTATGATATTATGACATGGCTTTTTTTAATGATCAATCACAAAGTTTTAAAACAATCGGTTGTCAAAAAAAAATCATTTAACAGTCAAATTTTATCAACTACATAATTTATTTATATATAAGTTATTTATGGAATATGTATTTTTGCAACTATTTTTGCGAAAAACTTGAGCTTGAATAAAAAATTACATTTGATCAGTTTTTGTCATTTAACACTAATGCGACTTTATGACGAATTTGGTTAAACGCCATTTGTAATAGTGATATTTTTAACAGATTGTCTTATTTCAACAAATTATATTTTCAATAAATTGTCAATTTTTTTTAGCTACAACAACAACAATAAATATCTGGCAAAGTTATTTTGTTATTTTGGTTACTTAATTAAACAAAAAAATCTGGCAACCCTATTCGCATCACAAATGCTTGGCAATCAGACGTCTGGCTTTTACGGAGAATAGCCCGCCGAAACTGTAAAATAATTTTTTTTATATGTATTCCTTCGTAAAAGCCGGACATCAAGCAACCCTAAGTATTCACATAATCTTAAACCACAAAAAATATATATTTTTTGACTGAAACCACTCGAACCTTCAAACTAAACTGCTAAACTACAAAAAAACAGCGATGCTGTTTTAAAGTGGGCTAGTAAAATACTACATCTATTCCAAGAATTCCTGCATCTATTCTGTTGAAAAGCAGATTTTTTTTTTTTATATATTTCTTTTTTTATTATTTAAAAAAAAAAACTTATATACAAACATATCAGTCTCAACAAAGCATTATTGAGTAATAATAGTTTAAGTAATATCGAGTTTTGCTTTAAAATACAATTTTATAAAAAAAGTACGACGTTATGAAAGTTATTAACTTAATAACTTTTATGAAAGTTATTAACTTAATAACTTTCACGTTTTATAACTTTTTAATTATTAAGAAGTTGTAAAACGTACGTATAACAAGTTATTAAAACAAACTATTATTTTAATACATTTTTCAAAATTTAATTTTAAAAATAGTTAAACACCCTGATCCTCAAGCTTAAAGTGTTAGCATTTTATTTTGTGAATAAAGCCGTCGTGTAGAGTTAGTCAATCAAAGTTTTTCCATTTTATTTTACGTAGTTATGTACTTAGCGATATTTAAGTCAATTGAGTAATATTTTTTTTTGTTTACCTGATAAAAAGAGTTCTATAATTTAGCGCTATCTTTTATTCTTAACTTTTAAAAATTGTTTGGGGGGATTGCTATTTAACATGAGTTGGGGGGTATAGTTAATCAAGTTTTTCCCTGCGTTAAACAAAAAATAATTTTAAATAATATAAATCTTGTATATGTTGATAATGATGATTAGGTTTTCTAAAAAACGCTCTGATCTCTTCAGATATTTTTGAAAATTCAAAAACTTGAACTTTTTGTCATTGACATTCTGCGATTAATGTCTAGAAGAATTAAATAATAACTGTTCTTAAACCAACATAAAATGTTCACGTTTAGTAATCACTTAAAACAATCATTTAAATGCAGCTCATGAAGTGATAAGAAAATTTTGTGTGTGTGTTTTTTTTATAGAAATCTTTGTGTGTTTAAAATTCATTTTTGAATTTCTATTTCTTTTTTCCTCTTATTCAATTATTTAGGTAAAAGTTATTTACACTCCAATATGTATTTATGCTAATATGATTTTATACTCTAATCCTTTAGATATGTTTAACAAAGGTTTATATAAAACAGATTCTTAAAATGAAGTTCCCAATCTTTAGAGTATGAGATGCATGTAAATGTTAGCTACCATAGCAATTTTAAATATGGATTTAGGTACATTACTTCTAATTTTGCTAAAAACAGCTTTTATTGGTTGCAATGTGGATCACAGTAAACAAAAATTAACTGTATCAAGTCAAGACAAAAAATATGTTATATTACGATTGAGTGAAGCTTTGCCTAATTGGACACATTACCACCTTGATACCAGCTTAAGTGGGGCACATTACCACAAAAACAATGGATATTATTTAAATCACCTAAAAATATCAAGTTTTACTGAAATTTATTTTTTTGAGAGAAATTTAAGTTGTTTTCAATTGGAAAGTTTGATTTTAAACATTAGTTCTATAAAGTATTTTAATGACTTAATTGGTTATCACTTTTTAAGGAATACTGCACTATTAGGAAGCACATTGTATAATATTTCTAAAAACTGCAAGGTTAAACTAGTGAAGCGTGAATATAAGCTTTATATAAACGATTATCATGATAAAATTGTGATAGACCTAAAGTTTCTTATTCAAAATAATCCCCATACTATTATTTGTCAAAACATTTCTAAAAAATTTCTGTTTATTTCTGAGCAAAATAATTTAATACTAAAGCCAAGATTGTTTGAAAAAAGAAGTTCCATAAACTGTCAGATTTTTAAACAAACTTTAAGTGATGATAATATTTTTTTGAAAATATATTTATTTACTTCTACTAGCCCTGTTCTCATACGAAAGCGTCGATCTTCAGATATTTATTTTGAACATGATCAATACACAATAGAAGTTAAAGAGAATATTGTGGTTGGAGAAACAATACTTAAATTAAATGTCTATGGGGGTTCAGGAAAGTATATATTTAAAAAAAGTAATGATCTAAAAACAGATAGCCTCTTTAAAGTTGATGAAAATTCTGGAGAAATAAAAATTCTAAACAAATTGGACCGTGAGGAGGGTGCAACTTTATTTGCTTTAGATATAACAGCCTCTGACAAGGATAATCTTAACTTAATTGCTTATACAACTGTTAAAATAAGTATCTTGGATATAAATGATAACCATCCAATATTTAGTATGCCAGCATATTTAAAAACCATTAAAGAAGAACAACCTTTAAATCAATTTATACTAACTGTACAAGCTTCTGATAATGATTTTGGCATCAACAGTGAAATAAAATATTCAATTATTAAAAATACGAGCATCGATATTCCTTTTGAAATTGATGAGAAGACTGGTGTAATAAAAAATGTTCAAATACTAGACAGAGAAATAAAGTCATTCTATCTTTTATATGTCAAAGCTGAAGATAAAGGTGTTGATCCAGGTTCTTTGTTTGCCACAGTTTTAGTAAATATTACTTTAGAAGATATTAATGACAATAAACCAACTTTTTCTAAAAGTAAATTTGTAATAACTCTTCCGGAAGACACTCCAGTTAATCAAGTAATTTTAAATGTTACAGCCACTGATGCGGATTCAGGATTGAATGGAAAAATTGAATATAGACGTTTAAGCCAATCAGAGTTTAGTATTGATAGCTCAAGTGGTGAGATTAAGTTAGTTGAACCATTAGACTATGATAGGTCAAATAAACTTTATGAATTTGTTGTAGATGCATTTGATTGTGGATTTCCACCTCAGCATGCTAGTGTTATGGTTGAGGTATGATTGTTATAATTTTTTGTTTTTATTTCTAAAAGCTTATAATATATACATTATTAATTTTAATCATTATTTTTTCTCGGACTAAACTTTCTTATCTTTGAACCTTTTTATCTAAAGTAAAATAACAAAAATGTAAATGTTAATAAAAATATTAATAGTTATAAAATAAATTTTTTAAACTTAATGACACTGGTATATATATATATATATATATATATATATATATATATATATATATATATATATATATATATATATATATATATATATATATATATATATATATATATATATATATATATATATATATATATATATATATATATATATATATATATATATATATATATATATATATATATATATATATATATATATATATATATATATATATATGATATATATATATATATATATATATATATATATATATATATATATATATATATATATATATATATATATATATATATATATATATATATATATATATATATATATATATATATATATATATATATATATATATATATATATATATATATATATATATATATATATATATATATATATATATATATATATATATATATATATATATATATATATATATATATATATATATATATATATATATAAATAAAAAGAAAAGCTCTCTTAAAAGAAACATGGTGAGCAATGCAAGTTGCTCCTCTAAATAGCTTCTTATGCGAGTTTTTGGTTTTTGCACAAGCTATCTGTTTATTCTTTTAAAAAATTGCTTATACCAGGTGTGTTCAAAAATAAAGGTGGCTTTGTATTTTTTTAAAAAAATATTTATTTATCAATATTTATTTTGTCCCCCTCAAAGTAATCCCCCTCAGATACAATACACTTATGCCAACGGTTTTTCCAATCCTCTAAGCACTTCTCATAAGCACTTTTGGGTAAAACCTTGAGCTCTTCCAGCGATGCAGTCTTTATCTTTTTAATCGTTGCAAATCTCCGTCCTTTCATAGGTCTCTTTAGTTTTGGGAACAAGAAAAAGTCACATGGGGCCAAATCCGGTGAATATGGTGGCTGAGGCATGATTGTGGTATTGTTTATGGCCAAAAAATCTCTCACAAGCAAAGATGAGTGAGCAGGGGCATTATCGTGATGCAAAAGCCATGAGTTGTTTTTCCACAATTCTGGACATTTTCTTCGTATTGCTCCTCGCAAACGCCACATAACTTCAAGATAATACTGTTTATTGACCGTAGAAACATATGGTAAGAACACCTGATGTACCACGCCATGGTAATTGAAGAAAACAGTGAGCAAAACTTTGACATTTGATCGAACTTGGCGTGCTTTTTTCGGTCTTGACTCACCTGGGCTTTTCTATTGGGACGATTGGGCTTTGGTTTTGATATCATAACCATATATTCATGATTCGTCACCAGTTATGACCCTTTTGAGTAAATCTGGGTTGTCGTTGGCCTCATTCAACAGTTATTGAGCGATGCTCATGCGACGGTTCATTTGTTCAAAATTGAGCAATTTCAGAACAAACTTCGCTGACACACGTCTCATGCCCAAAAAATTAGAAAAAATTTCATGGCACGAGCCAAGTGATATACCAACATCATCAGCAACTTCTCTAATAGTGATTCAACGATTTTCCAAAACAATTTTCTTCACTGCTTGAACATTTTCATCAGTTGTTGACGTGGTTGGGCATCCAGAGCGAGGCTCGTCATTGGCATCTTCCCGGCCATCTTGAAAGAGTTTGTACCACTTCTAGACATTTTTTTTACTCAGAAAAGTTTCACCATATACCACTGTTAACATTTCAAGTGTTTTGGAGCACTTTATTTTATTTTTTACACAAAATTTGATGTAAATCCTTTGATCCATATTTTTTGATAGCAAAAAATCGCTGAGCACGCAAAACACTTATAACCTTTACGCCTCTCACAACCAAACAAAAAATGCTATACACTTGAAACTTGGTACAGATGTCCGGGAAGAGTGTACCAACAAGATAAAACAAAAAAATCGATAATCGAAAGTACGTTGCCCATGAAATTTGAAAAATCACCATAATTTTTGAACACACCTCGTATATTCAAAATTTGGTTTTGTACTTGTTGCAATCATAACTTTATAAGTTAATCTTACAAAAATATATACATAACAAGCGTCATTTATTGCGCTGTGAAAAAATTTATTAAATAAGTGTTGATTTGTGTTTTCGCACTAGTTATCTATTTTTTTATTAACAACATTACTTATTTGATAAAATAAGTAGTTGTAAATGAAAAAAAAAATTTCAAAGAGCTAAACAATTTTTTTACTGCTTATAAAAAGTGTTTTATATTTTCTTATTTTAATAGAATACACACATTTTAAAAATTATTACAACAAAAAAATAAATCCACAATAATATTAAAGTAATTAGAATATAAAAAGTATAATTTATTAAAGTTTAATAATTTATATTTTTCAGTTGGTTAAATCTAATCAAAAACATTTGCATTTCAATCGACACTCTTTTTTAATTTTTTTTGCAACAACTGTGTCTTTAAATTAGCGTTGTAGTTTATTATGCAATTAATTTTAAATAACTTTGTGTTTTTCATTTTAATTACAATAATAATTATACTTTTGAGAGAAAAAAGTATACTTTTGCAAGATCTGTAAATTGTTCCTGTAAACCATTTTAGGGAGTGTTGGTCAGAGCCTGCCCTGGCTTATATATATATATATATATATATATATATATATATATATATATATATATATATATATATATATATATATATATATATATATATATATATATATATATATATATATATATATATATATATATATATATATATATATATATATATATATATATATATATATATATATATATATATATATAAGCCAGACCATATAACCAAACCATATATATATATGCTGCCACCAGCAGCAGACTATTTCAGTATGACGTCAGATTGCTTACCTTAGTACGCAATACTATTTGTATATATATATATATATATATATATATATATATATATATATATATATATATATATATATATATATATATATATATATATATATATATTAAAGGGCTCGAATTAACTCGAAGAAAAAAAAAAAAATTTCACCTCCCTCCCTCATACCTTGCGGTAATGGGGAGGGGGGGGGGAGGAAAGTTGTGTTAGTATATAATTGTAACTTTTGTACGCAATTGTTTTATTTTTAACAAATTATCTCTCATATTTAAATATAATCTTATAATTTTCTTGTTCGGCAGAGTTTAAAATAGCGTAGGTTACTGTTATTATTTACAACTTAATCATAACTAAAAGTTTAAGTTGCAGTTGCAATAAGCAATAAGGTTTTTAATACTATTAAGATATTTCTTTAAGTATATTTTTTAAGTATATTTTTACTTAAAATGATACTTAAAAAAGTAAAAGTAAAAAAGAGAAAAAGCAGCATTACAATATCTAAACCACTTTAATTAGTCAAAGAAAACTATTTAATATGTTCATGCTGATGTTAAAACATGTGTTAATTTTAAAAAGTATTTAATTGTTAAAAGCTATAAAACAAGTTTATAATATTTAGACCAAACGAGTAAGATCAAAGCATAAAAACATTAGGTACGATGTCTTTTATAAGTTATCATTTCCTGATCAAGTGTACTATTAAAAATTTAATTATAATTAAGTTTTTCATTCAAATAGTTTTTAAACTGATGTTTTCATTCAATTTTTTTTTGTTCTAATTGTTTTCCAAAAAAAACGTGAAACAAAAAATTTTGTTTAATAACTCGAATTATATTAAGTATAAGAATATGCTTAAATTATTTTTTAAGAAAAAAATTTTTTCAAACAGAAGTAAAATAATTTATTAAATTAAATTTAAATTTTTTATAATTTTTATTTTAACTTGCAATTTGCAATCACTGCTTTGATGTTTGCAATAGAATGTTTCTACTTTTAAAACTATTTTCAAGAAAAAATAATATAATTCAAAACGTTAACAAAATTTACAATTTGAGAAAAAAAAACTTTCTTCTTCATTCTCCCTTGTTTCACCAAACTTTTTTTAATTTTTTAAATTTCAAATTTCAATCACAAAATTATTTGAATAAGTGAATTTAAAGGCTAAAGTTCTCTTGTTCAAATAGATTTCTTTTTAAATAAAATTCCTGAAAACAATTGCGTATTTATAGAAAATGTTTAGTCTAGATGTCGCTATAAATAAAATGAAAATATAAAAAATATAGGGGGGGGGGAGTATTCAAAAGTTGACGTAATTTTATAGGAAGGGGGATCTCTGGAAATTAGACGAAGTGTTGACAAGGGGGGAGGGGGGAGGTAAAAATTACAAAAAATTTGTTGACGTTATTAATGGACAGCCCCTTATAAGTTAATTTACTGTGATATACTCTATCCATTCAGTAAAGTTAACTGAGTATAACTTCAATAGTTTCAAGGTCGTTAAAGCGAAAAACGTGAAAGCAAAAAAGTTGCTGATTTCTAATAGCACAATTTTACTAATAGAAATTTTATTTAATAAAAACAAATTTATATATATTTTATTATACTTAAAGTAGTAAAAATAATTATATAAAATTGTTTATAAAATAATAACTTAAATCATTATTAATTAGTTAATTTGGAGCAACGTTTCTTTTAAAAAAAGATAAAAATGCCGTTTTGTTGAAAAAAATAGAATGAAGAAAAAATTCTTTTTAACTTTTGTCTTTTTAATTTGCTTCTACACAGAGATTAAAGTAATTTGAATTAAAAAGTGCTTAATGTTGAATTTAAAATCTCCGCGCGAAAGAGCAAATGATCATGCTTCTATTCAAAAGACAAACTTTGCGTGACGTACTTTACTATGATAACATTACTTTTAAGAATTGCCAAAAAAAAAGCTAAATTAGAAAAATAGTAAATAAACACTTAAAAAAGTAAACCAATCGGGAAAATATATGTTTTAAGAATAAGAAAAAACTAATCGCG